TAGCCGTAATGAACTAATGCGAGTGTACGGATTGCACAGCAACATGGCCGTATTTGTGTCGCAATGCAGGCGTGCATGACCCACTGCCGCCACATTCGTCTAATATTGAAACGGGAATCTGAAAATTGAACGATGTTGTTTTGTTTTTAAAACCCTCAATCACTGGCCGTCTGGTGAAGTAGCTAACAGAAGACATAGGCTACAAACGCCGCGTCAAATGTACAAATACAACACATGAGATGTAGTATTTTTGTTTATTACTTATATGTGTGGACGAGCTCACAGCCCACCTGGTGTTAAGTGGTTACCGAAGCCCATAGACATCTACAACTTGAATGTCGTCACCCACCTTGAGATATGCGCTCTAGAGTATCCGTTTTTACAGTACAACCGCTGCCCCGCCCTTAAAACCGAAACGCATTACAGCTTGACGCCAGAAATAGGCGGGGTGGTGGTACCAATGGTAACCACCAGTAATTACGCAAATTATAATTTTGCGGGTTTGATTTTCATTAGACGATGTTATTCTTTCAGCGTGGAAGTCAATTGTAAACATTTTTTAAGTAGGTACGTATTTCATTAGATAAATTGGTACTTGCCAGCTAGATTCGAACACCGATGCATCATTTGATATGAATGCACCGGACGTCTTATCCTTTAGGCCACGGCGATTTCAAAATCTCCAATTACTTTGGTACAAATATGATTGTACGCTCAGATTACATTTATCTCTTTCTTTCATAGAAAAATAAATGTGCTCACGGGCCACCTGATGTTAAGCTGACAAAGGAGTTTCAATTGTGTTGCTTGAGTAATCATTTGAATCGAACGAATAATTATTTTGCTGGAAAAATAGGCAAGGATGGTATCTGTCCGTATTAGGTCAGAATATGCGCTAATACTAGGAAATGCGATATCAACATACTGCTATAGTACTCGAAGAAGCTGCTGTCCTTAGTCCTGTGAATTTATTAATCATTTATTAGATCCTTTTTGAATTGTTACGCCGTAATCAAAAAGGTTACACACAGTAGCTGATTAACGCTCGGATGTACTTACTATTCGTTATCAGTACTGTGTATAATAACTATTACCACGCAAAATTTAATTCCCTGAATCTATACATATAAATAAAATTGGAGTGTCTGTTTTGCAATATTGAAATAACCGCTTTTTGCTACATGCATGTTTTTTTTTTTTTTTTTTTATTGCTTAGATGAGTGGACGAGCTCACAGCCCACCTGGTGGTAAGTGGTTACTGGAGCCCATAGACATCTACAACGTAAATGCACCACCCACCTCGAGATATAAGTTCTAAGGTCTCAGTATAGTTACAACGGCTACCCCACCCTTCGAACCGAAACGCATTACTGCTTCACGGCGGAAATAGGCGGGATGGTGGTATCTACCCGTGCTGACTCACAAGAGGTCCTACCACCAGTGATTACGGAAATTATAATTTTGCGGGTTTGGTTTTTAATACACGATGTTATTCCTTCACCGTGGAAGTCAATCGTGAAAATTTGTTGAGTACGTATTTCATTAGAAAAATTGGTACCCGCCTGCGGGATTCGAACACCGGTGCATCGCTACATACGAATGTACCGGACGTCTTATCCTTTAGGCCACGACGACTTCAAATATGAATATAATATATGCATATGAATATAATATATATACACCAAAATAACATTTTTTACAATCTTTGTCTGTCTGTCTGTTTGTTCCGGCTAATCTCTGGAACGGCTGGACCAATTTTAATATAAGGAGTAACTTAGGCTACTTTTTTAGACTAGCTTCGCCCCGCGCCTTCACCCGCGCTACGACAATGACCGCAGGTAACATCGCGGGAGTCAGTTATCAATAATACAATTTAATGTTTCCGAAGCGAAGCGAGGGCGGGTCGCTAATATAAAATAAAAAAAAAGATTAAAAACAGCATACATCTTCTTTCTTCGTATATCTTGCTTTTTTTTTAATTAGCCGTATTTTTTTCCTTGAAAAATCAAACCCGAATATTCACAATAAAGTGTGAAGAAGATACTCAATCACAATAGTCTTTAATTTCAAATGAATCCGAGCCAATAACGTTCGTTGGGTGACTTGGCAAATATATCGTCGGATAAAATCAATATCGGGCCCCGAAAGAGATAAAAAGTCGTCTTGACTGGGAAATTTGACCGAATTCTCTTGTGAAAAGGAATTGATTTTTCGAATGAGATAGTCTTACGTGTTGGGCCCGCGGTTTCGTCTGATTTGCAATTGGAATTTGGAAACTACATCGAGTTAAATCGATTAGTAATGTCTTACTAATATTTTTATTATAAACGTGAACGTTTGTAAGAATATTTTATTATTATTATTGTTTAGATGGATGGACGATCTCACAGCACTCATGGTGTTAAGTGGTTACTGGAGCCCATAGACATCTACAACGTAAATGCGCCATCCGCCGTGCGATATAAGTTCGAAGGTCTCAAGTATAGTTACAACGGCTGCCCCACCCTTCAAACTGAAAAGCATTACTGCTTCACGGCAGAAATAGGCAGGGCGGTGGTACCTACCTGCGCGGACTCACAAGAGGTCCTACCACCAGTAATTACGCAAATTATAATTTTGCGGGTTTCATTTTTACTACACGATGTTATTCCTTCACCGTGGAAGTCAATCGTGAACATTTGTTGAGTACGTATTTCATTTGAAAAATTGGTACCCGCCTGCGGGATTCACCGGTGCATCGCTTCATACGCTACCTACCCGTACGGGCACGCGTGATATGCTGGATAAAATCATGTCAAACCGTTACTTCGACTTGAAAGGAGGACAAACGAACGTACAAACAAACAAAGACGCTTTCAAATTTATAATACTACAAGCGGCCCGCTCCGGCTCCGCTCGGGTCTTTAACAAAAATTTCAACGATATTTGACGTTGTTTTTTTTTTTTTTAAATAAAAGAGCAGTTATTGCGGCATAACTATAATAGTTAGACATATGCTGTTACGACCCTTTTTGTAAATAATAATATGTTCTACAAAGTCGTAGTACATTATTTTATTCTATCATCAATATTTTACGCAGGGCACGCGATGTAAAGAATACTTTAGATAATTTTTTTACACCTTGGGTTACATTATTGGAGTTTTAGTAATGATCCCTAATTTTTTTCAAATATGTCACTCAGGAATAGTGTAGCTTCCAAACAATGAAAGAATTTTTCAAATCGGTTCAGTAGTTTCGGTGCCTATTCAATACAAACAAACAAACAAATCTTTCCTCTTTCTAATATTAGTATAGACTAAGTACAGATTCGTTCTAGAATGAATACGGAGATAGTTTTACAATGAAAATAAATCTGAAAATGACGTAATGAGTTTCAAACTTTCGCTGGTGACATCATCGAACTACGGACCAGAAGGGAACGTAGATTTCCGAACGTATACAATGTACACACATACATAATATTGTAAAATTTATATCGCGGTGGCAAACAGCCAAATTTTTCACCACGATTGATATCTAGGATGGCGTGCGAGTAGCCGGACGCAATTATTATTTGGCACCAAATCTTTGTATAAACATCGGGTTCGTTGGTTTAAATTTTACAATTTTCGACGTTTCCGTGGTCCCTGGACAGAGCTAGAATATCCCGAAATAAAAATCTTCTAATAGCAGAAGAGCATGCAGTTTTTACGTTCACGGTGTCATTGACATTTGTGACTCGGCAATACCAAAGATATTAACTATGGCAGGCATTTAGCGGTAGGCAGCGGCTTGGCTCTGCCCCTGGCATTGCTGACGTCTACGAGCGACGGTGACCACTTACCATCAGGTGGGCCGTATGCTCGTCTGCCTACAATGGCAATAAAAAAAATCTTTGACTGCTGGTTCCTGACGCTTTTTTTTTCTTTCCTACCTTAGCTGATTGCCTTGAGAGGCTATTTCAGCGTAACCTTAAATAGTAGGTGAGCTCACGGAGTTCAAACCTGACGACGTTGCTAACACGAACCCTAGCAAGGGCCGTGCTTCGCAGAATCTGCCACCGGATCGGAAACGCGACTCTCTAAGAAGATCCGGCGAGAAACTCAGTGGGCCGTGTCTGTGGGTTAATAAAGCGACGGGTTCGACGAGAACGATGACCGGGTTCCTGACGCAAAGCAGGAGTGCTCTGTGTAGATTTTTTACCTTCATGGCTGATAGATGGCGTTACAACTCATCTGATAAGCGACTACCGAGCCTAGCAAGCAGTGAATATTGTTAATGCTCTTTGAAATTGAATCCATGCTCACAATAACCCCTATTAACAGTACAAAGCGCCGACACTTTAGCGATTATTTCACAATACGTTTATCTCAAGTGGGTAGTGACAAAAGAATTCGTTCAGTATTCCTTTTTGTTGTACATTAGGATCGGTATAGCAAAACTGTCTTAGGATATTTTCGTGCTTTTCCCCTTACCTATGCGCTGTGTAGCCTAAGGAGCTATACCAGATACGCCTATACGAGTTTATATGCTATATACGAATCCTGATTCCTGTAGTAATATAATTCATTTTCACTGGTTCTAAGTCAAGGACCGATAATAATAGGATAATTATATAACTACGCTCTAATATCCTGATCAGTGTTAAAAGGATGGAAAAACAGATAAAAAGAATCACATTTCAATACATATATATTGAGATGATGATGATGATGATAATTTTTTACTGGTGATAGGACCTCTTGTGAGTCCGCACGGGTGGGTACTACTACCCTGCCTATTTCTGCCGTGAAGCAGTAATGCGTTTCGGTTTGAAGGGCGGGGCAGCCGTTGTAACTATACTCGAGACCTTAGAACTTCTATCTCAAGGGGGTGGCGCATTTACGTTGTGGATGTCTATGGGCTCCAGTAACCACTTAACACCAGGTGAGCTCGTCCGCCCATCTAAGCAATAAAAAAACAGGATCAAAAAACAGATAAAATTAATCGCCGATATGCCTTTCAATACATTATTGCGATATGAAACACCCAGATGTAGATCAAAGAAACCTGTTCATGCTGGTGCCCACCATCCAGGGCCCAGCAGGGACTAGAGTCAGGAGCGCTAACTACTGCCCGAGCTAGTTAATAAAATAAAAGCTTACATTTTACTTTCGCTCATACCGTTTTAACGGGCGATCGTATATAATTCGCGTGATCGAGTGATATGACCCGTTGTAATGTCGATTTGGTTTGCGGTATAACTGAACGGTTACAAGCAATACGGTAATGTAGAAAAAAACTTTTNATTTTCACTCTCTACGTAAATGAAGTGGGGGTAAAATTAATTATTTCACGCGGACGGAGTCGCGGGCAAAAGCTAGTATTTTTTAAAAGATCTTTTGTCTTCTGTATAAAGTACTCATAACCTAGACAAAATTATGCTTTAGGTTCGTTGATCAGTGGAAATATGGTAATTCTTTTTTATTATTGACAGAAATAATACACTTCAGAAAAAGGATGCAAATAACGAACCGAACTCTGTCATTCAAAGCTTTTTCTTTTTTCTCGTATCGTAAATCGATGCCTCCAATGACTCAAAATTTTGAAATTTTCGTTTTTCACACAAATCGCTTCACTATGCTAAAAGTATTACAATTAATCATTATTGATGGGGTTCGAAACAAGAGTAAATCAGCTAGTTACACGAAAACACCATAAATATATCTGCAATAATAAAGATTTTATAAACTTTTTTCGTTTAAACGCTCCTCCTGTAAATCTACGAATTTGGAGTTAACGTAGTGTTCATTGGAGGCATCGAAATATTTCGTGATTGTTTCAAAACTGTATCGATTTTGGCTTGTCGTTGGCATAGTACAATGTACGTAGGACGGATAATGCCAGAGTCATTATACAGCAAATTGACGTACCTCACGTGACCTATTGATTTTATCTTTTGACTAGCTGTACCCGTCCGCTTCGCTGGTCATTTAAAACTAGCCTTATTATTTCTCACCCTCACAAAGTTTCTCATCATTAAAGCCCCCGCAACTGATGTAGGGAATCCAACACTCATATAAATATTCAGCCTATCCATTAAGTACATGTATTTTCTACATGGATACCAAGTTTCAAGTCAATCCGATGCACGGTTCAGTAGTTATAACGGAACATCCGTAAAAATCACTGTAGATTTATATATTAGTATAGATGAAACATTCCCAATTATGATGCGTCCGCAGTCGTCGTCGTGGCAGCGAGTGGGAAGTGCTCGAAGGACTTAAGGATGGCCAGCGCTTCGAGAAGAGGCCGGATGTCTTCAACGGGTATTTGCATAAGAAGAGGAAATGGCCGTTAAAAGGATGGCACAAGGTGAGGTCTGGTGTATAACTGATCTAGCGCCGGTTAGCTTAGCAAGAGATATTTCGAACGTTAGGCAGCGACTTGGCTCTGCCCCTGGCATTGCTAACGTCCATGAGCGACCGTAACCACTCACCATCAGGTGGGCCGTATGCTCGTCTGCCTAATGACTGCCCAGTTTTTTAGCTCTATAGTCGGATCTCCGCCTGAGACCAAACCCGGGGTACGTAGAAAGGGCTACCGTGGTCGACCCTGCAGACCAGATGTAACCCAACGACCACCTTTCTAAGAGATGGACGTGTAGTGGCGTAGAACAGCGCCACTGACGTGGCACCGGACTCACTAAAATTTATTCCTATGTCGGTACAAACAGCACAGAATTAACTATGGTCAAAAAGGTAAAAATAATCTTCCAGCTGTCGTCGGCTGGTCTTGTAGTTATCATGAGTTCAGTCATAATAATTATGTCCATTGTTAAAAGGAGGTCATTACTAATACGTGTGAACTATGTTCCAGAGGTTCTTCGTAGTAGACGGCGGTATATTAGTCTACGCGCGTTCACCGGCCGATGTGGCTCGCGGTCGGCTCCACGGCTCGGTGGATGTCGGTCTGTCGGTCATCTCGGCCAAGGCCAGACGGCGCCGCATCGACATAGACGCGGACGAGTTCATATACCACTTGAGGGCGAAAACTCCGGATGTTTTCAGGACTTGGCTCAGTGTGCTTAAAGCTCACAGGTAAGTTATTGTTGGGAGCTTAGATATTGGGCATATGGAGAATGGACATCGCGACTTAGAATAGCACCGCTCTAACTGTACACTCCTCGATGTTCTGATGTACACTTAGGTTAAGTCAAAGGGCATATCATCATAGGATATGGTACAACCAAACGCTCATAGCTGGTTCTTACTGGTGGTAGGACCTCTTGTGAGTCCGCACGGGTAGGTACCGCTGCCCTGCCTATTTCTGCCGTGAAGCAGTAATGCCTTTCGGTTTGTAGGGTGGGGCAGCCGTTGTAACTATACTGAGACCTTAGAACTTATATCTTCAGGTTGGTGACGCATTTACGTCGTAGATGTCTGTGGGCTCCAGTAACCACTTAACACCAGGTGAGCTGTGAGCTCGTCCATCCATTCAAGCAATAAAAAAATCATAGGGTATGGTACAACCAAGCGGTCATAGCTGGAATACAATGCAATTGAGAATCCCACTTTACGTCTCAAGGTGGTTGGCTGCATAACGTTGTAATCTGTGGGTTCTGGTAACCGTTCACCACCAGGCATGCCCTTTACCTAGTAGTAAGCGTGGTCAGCTAATCCTCCCATGCTTTCATTAAAACATAATTTCAGGTTGTACCGTCAACACCTCTTAACCTTTGGAGCCAGGGAGTCTGCACCCAAGATCAATGCTCCTCTTGACGACCCGGCCGCGACCGACACGTCTTCCCGTAAGCACTCCACACCACACTTATGCACGAATGTTTGAATGATAATGAGTGAATGACATTTCTAGAATTCCCCTACGTGATTTTTCGCTATTATTCTCTAGAAGATCGAATTTATGAATAACGTAGGGGAGATAAACCTTGAAGCTTTTTTCAAATTAGAATTTGATACATACGATCTTTAGTTTCATGAAATTAGATAGATTATACATGAGTTCATCCCCCCTCCCTTTTTTGTGGTGCATTTAGGTAGTATTTTTTTTGTTGTCTCTGACAATCTCATTGTCCATAAACGTAGTGGCCAACATTGATGATTACGAAACTGGGTCGCAATGACAGAACTAAGACAAATTTTTTTTAAGTCATTCTATAAAATTTTCTCTCTTATTAGGTGTATATGATACTTCAAAATCTACAAGTGACGTAACCGAATTTAATACTTCTATGAGACTCACTGAATTCAACAGCAAAACGCTTAATGGTTCGATACCAATCGGATTTGATCCTATGAAAGATTTAAAAACATTTACGAATGATGATCGCATCGTCAAAGTATATTCAATGCCCAAAACGAATACAGAAAACGGTACAGACACTGTTAGTGATAAGAAATTGGGTGCAAATAATAAACCACGCTATAAAGAAAGAGATTCAGCCTGTGTTAAATCCGTAGATACGAAAGCTCTAATTCATTTAAGACAAACGAACAAAATTGTTAACGCAGTTGTGAATAAACAAAATATGCAATGTTATTTCTTCAGAAAGAAATGTCAGAATAATTCCGTAATGAGGAGATCGAGGAAATCGACTAACCTCGTCAAATATAGAAATGAGTATGAGGAACCGAAGCTGCGGAGGCCATTAGGCAATTACATGTTGCTTGGCGAACAGACGAGCGAACGAAAACGCGACGGGGCGAACATACCTGAGATATTTGATAAACGTAATGAAATTCATGTTAACACAACAGATTCTAAACACAATAAAATTGTCGATAGACTAGTAGATTTCGTATTCAAGGATACTGGTAAAGAAAGAGATTTGAGGACGAATATAAGCAAAATAATCAAGGAAGTATTAGAAAAGGATTGTGATAAAACGAAATATCCCGTGAAAGCTATGTTTAGAACTCTCATAGAATTCTGGTTGGACAGTGTCGATGTCAAACAGTGTAAAGAAACAATTAAAATATCCAAATCGACTAACACAAAATCTAGAAGTTCCACTAGAGATGTTAATTTATCGGGTATTGGCATCGGATATAAGAGTCACGCTACCCAGTTTGGTTTCGGTTATTTGTTACACGAATTCAAATCTAAGAAAGTTTTACGCAAGGGTGCAAATGAAAAAAATATTTCGCCGGTTTTCCATAGTCCTATACGAGATACGGATAGCTACGAAAAGGAGCGCCGAATCCAAGAACTGGAGAGACCGCTCAATAACACGATCTACGTTTGCGACACCGTACGCAGCAAAAGTCGCGAGAGAGACATTAAAATAACGAAAACCTTAATCGACAATTTGAATAACAAAACGAACCTGTCCGACTATAATGACACTTCGAATTCCTCAAACGAAATACCTAAAATACAGTACACGATTAAAAAACTCATAAGCGAAGCTTCAGTGCCGGCTGAGATTGCCGAAGACTTTCTGAACGCCTACCTGGGCGTGCTGGAGGACAGTTTGAATACTACAGACTCGAGCATAAACTTCAGTGCAAGCGAAACGGCTCCTGCGTGTGACGTTCTAACCGAAGCTGTTGTTAAGAAAGTATCTAAAAGTATATCGGCATGCGAAATGTCACCAAATAATCGTGTCTCGAATCTCGAAGGCAATAACTCTAGCCATTACGTGAAAGATGTTTTAAACAGAGTCGCTATGATATTTTCAAAACAAAAAGAAAACGAAAGAGAATGGTCTAGTAAGGACAAGGAACTAGATGAAAAGCAAGAAGCTTTACAAAATGCCATGAAAGAATTAGATAGAGAAAATCTATGTAAGACAGTTAACGAGCAATCGGTTCTAATAGATCTTTCTAAATACGATTTAGACCAAATATTAACGAGCACGGATTCTGATAAAGCCGCAGACGTTACAATAACTATAAAATTAAAATCGAAAAACATTGAATCGACGCGTAGACATCTTAGTTTGAGATTTTCGAATGATAAAAAATATAAAAATGACAAATTGAATTCGAAAACCAATAACGGGTCTAGTGAAATGTTTCGTGAATTCAATAGAAATAATAGTAATAGATATATCAACGAGCCAGTTGTACATTTGGAAGACGGCAAACGTATCTATAGTAGCGATGCCACATCTAAAGCCTACTTAAGCGGACACAGCGAACGTTCTTTTTGTATGACATCAGATAAACGTAAAAATATTGAATCAAACGCTGAAATTAATAGATCGTATAATGAAACTCCTTGTTACATGATGTCGGACATACCAAAGAATTACAAGAAATTGAAAACTAACGATCATAGATGTGAGAATGATGTATCGAAGTCAAACGACTACTCCAGTGAAATTATACAAAATTGCGTTAATTTGGAAAAAACAAATAAGTCAGTAGTCAATGAGGAATTCGTTTTGTTGATTTTAGGGGACTTATGTAAACTGACACAAGGCCTGCCGAGTCTGCACAAAGAAATTCATGGAATACATTCAAAACTTAAAAAGAAATATTATGAAACAATTCAAAATGACATAACCACTGAATTGAGTTTTTTAGATAAAATATACAAAGAGAATAATTTTGATACGAAACAAGGAATATTTCATTTAAATACTACTAATAACATTTCTAATTGCTTCGGTAAAATCAATCAATCACTTAATACAGTCCCAAATATGAGTATACAATTCGGACATGTTACTGAAAAAATTCCCGATATTGTTCCAATCGATAATAAACATTCAAAAGAATCTAATTGTGATAACGACAAAGCAACTAATATACCAATTAACCTAAATATCTATAAAGATAATAATCTAAAGTCAAATGAAATGGAAACTGGAGAATTGTTATTTAAGAGAACACAAACAAAAACCCAACACAACAAGAAAGTTATTAGCGAATTTATTGAGACAACAGACCGTTGCACGTCCAACGTAAAGATAAATACAGAAAATGAATTTTCTAAAACGGGAGACATAAAAAAATATGATCGCATTGAAACAGTTAATTCCAAAATGAGGAACGAAAAAGGAAAACTGAATAAAATGAAAAAGAAGTACCCTAATTCTGACCTTAAAGTATACAAGATATACTACAGTAAGAACTACAACACAAAGGGCTCTAGTTCAACCACCGATTTGAACTTTAATAAAACAGATAGCAAGGATTTAAAAATTATATACAGATGTCCTAGCGAACCGTCCCTTATATCCGGATAGCGCTACCCATAACACGGTACAAGGCGAATTACGGGGTACTGACGTAGATATTCCTTTGTCGAAACCTTAGAAATATCTAGAATTATCTAGTGGATTGTCTTATAAAAGTTAAATTAATGTGATATGCGTATTCCGCTTGTAAATTATCTGTATTCGATGCTCTATTAAATGTTTTTTGTTTGGCTTTTTTATCGTTCAACAATTTGTTTTATTGGTTTTAGATTTTACAACGTATATTGGAAGGCGATTTGAATTTGCTAATTTTGTTGTTGGTTTTTTTATATTTTTCAAGTAGTAATTCGTAGGGATTCAGTAACGAAACAAAAAATAAACTTCTCTATATCTTTAGTGAGCATTAAACTCAAACTACTATAAATACAAAATTGCATATGAAAAACGCAAGAGAGCGCGATTTATTCAACTTTGTCCCTTTTTGCGTTATTACATAAAATTGGTATTCTAATATATAGTTGTTAAATAGATTTAGTTAGATAAAAAAGCGTTATTATAATACATAAATCTTTCTGTAGAGACAGATCTATGTAGAAAAAATTTAATTATCAAAACCACGGAATAGATAAATAAGGTTGGAAAGGCCTTTGCTCTAATTTTGTATTAGAACCAGTGTCGCCGCTTCATCCCCACTATTTTAATTTCTACACATACACACACTGTGATTACAAGTATTTCGCACACAACAAAAACACCCACACATAAATCTCAGGACAGATATTCGTTCGGAAACTAGCACAAAACACCCGTAGACATACACACTCACACACGCAAAAAGGCAATAAAAATGTTCATACACGCTAGTGCTTGATAAAATCGATATTCTTTATCGATAAATTATCTGATGAATGAATGGAGAAAATGAAACATGAAATAAATATTGAAAAAAAAAACTATTTTACTTTTATTAATTACAAATAGTCACTGTCGCTGGAATAAAACGTATTTGTTAAGCAGTTGGCGCTTGCTATTAATTGCGAATGAATTTTTCAAAACTAAGTGTATTCTGATTTTTTTTATGATAAAATCATTTTCAGTAAAATGTTTAGAGCAAATAGTACTCGTCTTTGTCTCCAGTTTCCTCTACCTGTCACGTCAATCCATTGTTCCCTGGCGTTAGGTTCTTTAGGAAACCTAAAATTTTTAATTTACTGCATAAGTCAAATAGCATTTTACTTAGATTTTAATACGTCTTAGACAATATAGTAAATACCCGTAAATTAGAGGTCTACATGTCCCTTTATATTATACCTTCACTTTAATTCAATGATAATAATTCAATAATAATAATACATATTTATTTTACTCAAAATACGTCTCACTAAGAATATACTAGGTATCATTAATTAAATATAAAATAATGCAAAAATTATCCATGTCAAATGTAAATATAGTCGAGAATTCTGTCGATGATTTTACCACATGGTCACCTCACTATCGACAAACTGCACGGCCAATCAGGGCAAAGGCCGAAATTTCAAAGATTGAAGTGTAGAGAACGCAATGCATGTAGTACATTGGAAGCTGACTTGGTCATTGCGTTCATTGGGCGAGTACACATCGCGCAATGTATGCTATTTATAACTTGCTGCAATAATATTGTTAATGTTTGGAATTTCATAATGCTCAGTATATTTTTATGTTTTAGACAAATAATATTGTAATTAAATGGTAATTTCGACTTACCGATCGAAAGATATACCTCCTCGCTCTATACTTGAGGTCTGATTTTTTGTTTTACAAGTTATAATTGCACAACACGGCACTATAAAGCGGAGATCTGTTCGCCAAGTAGTCCGAAGCGCACTAAACGCGGTGAATGAAAGAATCGGTCGAGTTATGTTTGTTCTATCATAACAGTGGCACGCTTGCCCCGCCTACATTACCATTCCAACCTTATTTATCTATTCCGTGATCAAAACAGATTAAGATAAATAGTTCATCCGATAAAGATGTGGTACAAGGTTATTAATTTATTTAGTTTGGTTCAGTATCTAGATTTTTTTTTTTCTACATTAGATGCGCCCATGCTTGGAATTTTTTCATGTGTTATGTCTAGCTTTTTTTTTGTAGCTTAGATGGGTGGACGAGCTCACAGTCCACCGGTGTTAAGTGTTTACTGGAGCCCATAGACATCTACGACGTAAATGCACCACCCACCTTGAGATATCAGATCTAGGGTCTCAAGTATAGTTACAATGGCTGCCATGCCCTTCAAACCGAAACGCATTACTGCTTCACGGCAGAAATAGGCAGAACTCACAAGAGGTCCTACCACCTACCACCAGAGGTCCTACCTGAAACTCAAATACTAGACAAGTATAAGTGCTATTAGACTACTGATGACCTCGACCGGAAATCAAACCCGCATTAGGTCAAAAGTCATCTAGTCAAGAGTCGGCCTTGGCAAGACAATTAGTAAGTGCTTGTCACTGTTTGTATTTTGGGTGCAACGGGAACGCGCATGGGTGGATACCAACATCCTGCCTATTTCAGCCACGAAGCAGTCGTGTGAGCCGATAGCTTGTTCATTCATCTAGCTCAATACAAAAATGTAACAATTACTATAGTTGAAAACGGCACTGAGGTAATTTATCTCGGACCATTAGGGAAACGACTAGTGCCTGAAGTACAATGAGGGCATTATGCCATAAATCTACCTTGAAATGCCAAGAAGGTGGCTTTTCAAAAATTACTCTCAATTTGTCCGATGCAACTGGTGACGTCATTTAAGGCCAAATAAACAATTACTATGATAATGATCAATGTTTAGCCACGTAACACATAATGGATCGCGCGCGTTGAGTTTCTCATCGGATCTTCTCAGCGGGTCGCGATTCCGATCCGGTAGTAGATTCATTCGCGAAGTAGCTGCTCTTGAGCTGATAACTGTTAGCAAATCCCACCCTTCCTGGCTCGCCCACATGTCCTGGTGAAACTGGAAAGAACTCCGGGCCACCAGTAAGCGGATCATTCATATTTAAAAAAGATATAGTGGATCCTGATTGATATTCGGTTAGACAATTTGATAACGTTAGCATATCAATACCCTGATAGTATGAAGCATGTTTTGAATTTTGATACAAGTTTTATTGTATCGTGCACGTAAAAAGTTCCCCGGACGTGGTATGGAATAACATAATAATATAGTTAACCACATCGTGTGAAGGATAGATCTGGAAGGATAATTAAAAAAAGATGTAATGCAAATATCGAAACCCGAAGCGAGACGAAAAATTGAAAATATAATAACCCAGGCATAAATGTTTAACGTTTTAGTCGATTCTAATTTCGTGAATATGCAGTGTGTAGGCAGCCTTAACTTTAAAAAAAAAAACACAAAAATCAATGCTAAATTCACAGCTGCCCTTCAGATCGAATCGCGTTAGGTGGAGAAACCATAAAAAGACTGAGGTGACGATGCCTACCCGTGCGTGTTCATAAGCCCCCCAGATCACTAACTTAGAGTCGTCGTGGCCTAAAGGATAAGACGTCCGGTGCGTTCGTGTGTAGCGATGCACCGGTGTTCGAATGCCGCAGGTACCAATTTTTCTCATGAAATACGTACTTAACAAATGTTCACGATTGACTTTCACGGTAAAAGAATAACATCGTTCAGTAAAAATCAAACCCGCAAAATTACAATTTGCGTAATTACTGGTGGTAAGACCTCTTGTGAGTATAGGAAGGCATAACCCTTGTTGTAACCCTAGCCGTTGTAACTATACTGAGACCTTAGAACCTATATCTCAAGGTAGGTGGTGGCATTTACGTTGTAGATGTCTATGGGCTCCGGTAACCACTTGGTGTTATGTTGGGCTATGAGCTCGTCGACCAACCTAAGCAATAAAAAAGATCGATGAAAGAATAAAACCTTGATTTTGTCCGTGTATTCTATACCACTGCCCGGCTAGTTCTCCCCTTACCCCAATTGAATGTTTATCCATAGGGCTGGTAAGTCCCACGACAGCCACGATTAGAGGACCGCAATTCGTATCCGGCACGCCCGGCGGACGACTCGCCAGTTGGATCATCGGTAAGGACATTTCCATTCCAAAAACTAGGAAGGAGGATGCAGTAACTTCAACTTCCCCAACCATTAGCATCCCCAACTTTTCTTCAACAACTTCAACAACCTCCCCCAACCTTTACCAAACCTTTAGCTGTATGCGAACTTTAACAGCGCGTGCACTGCAATAAACATCAGAAGTTGCAGAAACTTAATTGAATGTCTGAATTATTTTGCAACTGTTTTTTGGTAATAATTGTCGTTTTAACTAAATGCCCTGTAGGTCACCGGTGCCCTACGCGGCGTATTAAAGTAATTATGTCGATTTCTGTAACTAAAGTACCTGGATTGCCTTCTTTTGGTTTTATAATGTACCAGCCGTACTCGCACGCTTCGCTGGGCATTTAAAATTAACATTATTATTTATTGTCATTATTATTAGGGAGTCCAACACTCATATAAATATTAGCCTATCCATTAAGTACATGTATTTTCTACATGGATACCAAGTTTCAAGTCAATCGGATGCATGTTTCAGTAGTTATAACGGAACATCCATAAAAACCACTGTAGATTTATATATTAGTATAGATGTCTCTTAGAAATAGATTCATTCTTCGAAGATACTGATCTTCGAATTCTTACTTCAGTGCACCGCGTAGGGCACCGATGAGCTACAGGGTAGTCAAAGGGTTAAAGATTGATCTATTGTAACTTCTGCCTTATATCTCAAGTTGTCAATCGCTTCAACATTTAACAACGGACTTTAATGCGTCATAAATTTTCAATAAACTGTCCGAACATCAAACGCGACAGTGTTCTTTCTTTATTTATTTACCGTGAAATGACCACGTTGGGAGGGGGAGGCCTATGTCCAGCTCTGGATGTCTGTGGGCTGATAGAATAGAAATGACCACGTCAACATGCAATACTTATTATTTTTTAATTGCCCTTGTAGGCAGACGAGCATACGGCCCACCTGACGGTGTGTGGTTACCGTCGTCCATGGACTTCAGCAATGCCAGGGGCAGAGGCAAGCCGCTGCTTAAAAAAACTTATGGGCCGCGTTCGCTCAAATGACCTCATCAACCCGCCGTACTACGGCCGCGTCTACCCATTCTCCGTAATTTCGATGTTTATGCCTACAGAATCTGGTGGTCCGCTGGAGAATGCCTCACGTGAGCTGGGACAAGCTCAGCTGTCGGTACAACAGCTGCAGAGGCTGCTGGATGCGCTGGAGATGCAACAACAAGTCCATCACGATACAGACGTAAGTGCCATACGCGAAACCGTGCGAATTTAAACTCAACATGTACTTTACTTATGTATTCGTTTCGCTTGACTCAACATTAACACGCCTTTATCGGCTTGACCGTTATATATATATATATATATGTGTGTGCGTAACGGAAACGGAAACAGATAATTTTAAGGCTGCCCAAGAAATTTGCCGACGTGTGTACCGATAATTTTGTTATTTCGTCCTAATATCCTTTCTATGATGAGCAGAATGAAAAAGTTATTGTTTTAATTAAGCATTTGATTTGCTGTTGGATTTTTTAAAAGTTTATGAGCTATATTTTATTGTAATTGAGGTCATATTAGGACTTAAGTTGTTCCGTAGACCGTGGTTGTTAATTTTTGACAACGATAAATGCCAGGATCCGACCAACTCTGGGTATAATGCCATAATAAATCTGGAGGTTCGCTGTCCCTTGATTTTAATAACCAATGCATCTAAAAATCTTGTGGTAGTTTATATATTATGTAGATATGAGAGTGAAACACAATGCAACGCCATTCATTCGTGAACATTATGACGTAAGCATTTTATTAAGAAAAAAATCTGTACCCGCCTGCGGGATTCGAACACCGGCTCACTCGCATCGCACGATACGCACCGGACGTCTTATCCTTTAGGCCGCGACGGCTTATGTCACCAATTTTAGTGTTACCATTCAGCGAAGCACTGCTCTTGCTAGGGCTAATGCTAACAAAATTTCTCAAGTTGGAGTCCGTGAGCTCACCAACACGCTCGGTTACGCTGACATAACCCTCTTTTTTTCCTTCTTTTCCTATCTATGCTGATAACCTTGAGAGGTTATTTCAGCTTCACCCTAACGTGTAGGTGTGTTAACGGGGTTCAAATCGGGAGTGTTGCTAACACTAGCCCTAGTAAGAGCAGTGCTTCGCTGAATTTACCACTGGATCGGAATCGCGGTTCACTCAAAAGATCCGATCCTTCTAAGACTGCCAGTTTAGGTAGGAAAAAAAGTTACCATATTTTTTTTGTTTTTATTGCCCTCGTACGCAGACAAGATACGGCCCGCGTAACGATGAGTAGTTACCGTTGCCCGTGGACATCAGCAACGCCAGAGGCAGAGTCAAGCCGCTGCATACCTACGAATGAAAAAAAATGTGTGCTTTTCCCCCTGATATCAATAACAGAAAAGTGCGAAATTGATCGAATCTAAATCTTAAGTGTCTGTGTTTACGGTCGAATGTCGATCGTTAGGCGAGCACTAGTAGTCTAGAATGTTCTCAGGTGTCACTGGACGGCGCTTCGCCGAACGTGAAGAAGGATCGCCGCAAGTTCGGTCTCCGCAAGAAGAAGTCGAACAGTAAATGCGCTTCCATTGAACTCACCGCTTCGCACATCGACCCGTCTAACTCGCACATGGTAATCATGAGGTTCATCATCAGCCTGTATCTCTCCACTGCTGGATGTAGGCCTCTCCCATAGTCCGCCACAATGAACGATCCTCCGCCTTCCGCATCCAATCTCTCCCAGCGTATCGCCGCAAGTCCATCGGTCCAACGGGCAGGGGGAGGGGTCATCATGAGGTTCACACTCTTCTATTGCCTTAAGAGTTGAGAGCTCGAGGTCTCAATCGTGGCGACCATGCAGTACCCACAATATTACTGGTGGTAAGACGTGTTGTGAGTTCACGTGGGTAAATACCTCCACCCTGCCTACATCTGCCCTGAAGCAGTAATGCGTTTCGGTTTGAAAACTAAGGCAGCCGTTGTACTGTAAAAACTGAGATCTTAGAACTTATAGCTCAATGTAGGTGGCGGCGTTCGTTGTCTTTGTCGAAAACAATGGCGACGGTTGTATCTATTATGCTCATAGTAAAGTTTCATATGCAAATGAATTATCCGACGGTGACCCGTGAATGCTTTGCGGCAGAGATAGGCAGAACGCTGGAACCAACCCGTGTAGACTTACAATATGCCCTACCATCAGCATTAGAGATAGTTTAGAGAAATAATAAGTAAATTCACTTCTAGCACATAGCTAGTGATGATGACCTTTAAAGGTATTGTAATAAGGTACATTTTCTGACAGGCCCTCTCAGCACTGACCGCGCCTCCATCCCCGGGCGGCGGTGCGTCGTCCATACCTAACTCGGCTGCTTCGCTACCCATAGGTATGTCAGCAAAATTATATAAAAAAAAAATTGTAAATAATAAGAACAGATGTGATCTTTGCATTGTAGCTTAGAAAAAAAAATGTATGAAATAAAATCGAAAATGAAAATGCAATGTATTGCCAGCGTAAAAAAATAAAAAGCTACTGTGTTGTCGTAATCCATTGCCTTTGGCACGCTGATAATCAAGATCACCTCTCTTCGTCCCCTTTATGTGTTGTGTGTGTGTGTTTGCGTTTACACGCTTTGCTATGTTTGTGTGTGGTTCATGTGTATAAACAAATTTGTATTTTATTATTATTATTATGTAGTAATGTTTATTTGAATTGAATGTCGAATAATTGCTTTAAGCCTTCGTCAAACAGAACGCGCACTTAGCGCCGCGTACTTAACGTCGCGCTCTTCAAATTGACTAGATGAGTCTAACGCTCCTTGACGCAACGCATTCGCCAAATGATAGTGCCTTTTGATAGCAGTGTGAAAATTTAAAAGTATTAAGAAATCGAGTGATTCAGATGTGGCATTGTATAAGCATGGGTATTTTCTAACTATTTATATCATTTTTTCGGGCATTATCTAGTATTTTAATACACATTCACTCGGACGCTAAAATAAAATTTGTAAAAAATTACAACGCCTAACGTCAAAGCGTCCTAACGCCGCGACAGAGCGCTGCATACTTATAGCGCTGGGGCTCTGTTTGACGGTATGTTACCATAGTAGTACAACACATCTCGGCGTCATAGCGCGCCGTCGGTTTAGCGCTCTGACGCGCGCTAATTACGCTTTCTGTTTGACGAAGGCTTTAATTTTAAATACATTGCAACTTGGAATCGAAAACAATTATTTGGGCGAAGGAAGCATGCGATGCCGTTAAATATATATTTTTATAAAATCTACCATGCAAAAAATTTAATATAAAAAATCTACCATCATTGATTAAAGCACAAGGAAATAATTATATATTTTTTTATATATTTTTTTGTAATTTAATTTCGAGAAATGAATGGTACATTAGTAGTTTTTTTTTAATTGATTTAAATTTTAAAAATTACAGGAATGTATTATCTAAATGTTTCATTTAGTAGTTTGCATTGTAATCTAATTTGAATGTATGTCTTGACAAGGATTTTACGAAATCGGTAAGTTTTACCTTCTCTTTTGTCTCTTTCTCGGAAGGATGTTGACATTTTCTGTCATCTGTCACAGTTGACGTTCCCCGCGCATTATAGACAAGTGTTGTCAACTAACAAGGTGGGTGGCGCATTTACGTTGTAGATGTCTATGGGCTTCAGTAACCACTTAACACCAGGTGGGCTGTGAGCTCGTCCACCCATCTAAGCAATAAAAAAATAAATAAAAAAACCAACAAAATATGGAAATTTCCTTAATTACCAAAAAAACTAGTACTAGTTGGCAACACTGAAACAACCTTCGAGAAAAATTTAGACATTTACATAGCTTATGTAGATACGCGGAAAATTTCGTCAAGGATATTCGCAGTAATTACTTGAATAAAATTTAACTTTTCCTTTGACTTCAATCGAGTATCGTTAAAGATCTTCAATGCCATGAGCAATTCCGACCAGCAGTACGTGTAGTGCCATTGTACAAACCGATTCCATAAACACATCGTCGAGTACTTGAAACAGAAAAGATCACAGACACCACTTTATTTTTTTTTAACGATAAATATCTTTTAACTTACTGATTTGCATTCACACAAAATTATTGCCTCTAATTAGATAAGGGAACTTCAATTTAGGATCTTTTCACTCGAGCGATACTAGGCTGACGATTACTAAGATTATTTACTTTTTGTCAATTTGAGATTTACATTCTGAAATTTTATAAAATGCGATAATTTGCACCGAAAATAAGAATTAGCGACTTTTACCTTATAGTTTTTCAGATATTTTAAAAAGCTGTATAATATATAACCTTGATAAAAACTACAAGTTTCTATTGGATTTGAAAAGCACGCCGTTCGGTTTGGCTAAAGAGCCACGCGGTACACTTCTATACGCGTTTTGTGTGATAGTTACAATCTGTGGCTTGTAGGAAGCGTTCACGTTGGAACCCTCACGCGGCTCACAGGTGACCCTCATGACCCGAACGGCTCAGTAAGATAAGGCTTACCGGTGAGCACCTCAATGAAAATGCTCGATTTTTAATACGCTTTTATTAGCTTCAGACGTATGTATGTAACGGAATCTTTGAACATGATTTTGACCCCCTTCAAAACATCCGATTAACTCGAAATTGGGCATACTTATTAAGGACCGTTGACAATTCAATATTTAAAAAAAAATTGAAAAAATTGAAATTCAACTAAAAAAATTTTTTTTTTTTAATTGCTTTGATGGGTGGACGAGCTCACAGCCCACCTGGTGTAAAGTGGTTACTGGAGCCCATGGACATCTACAACGTAAATGCGCCACCCACCTTGAAATATAAGTTCTACGATCTCAGTATAGTTACAACGGCTGCCCCATCAAACCGAAACGCATTACTGCTTCACGGCAGAAATAAGCAGGGTGGTGGTACCTACCCGTGCGGACTCACAAGAGGTCCTACCACCAGTAAAAAAAATAAACAATAGTTTAAAAAAACTAACAAAATACGTTTTTATAGAAAATCTAAAGTATTATTTATTCTTATGGCGTTCAACGTGTTAATGGACACTAGTATAGGTAATTAGGTATTAGAAAGGAATTAAGTGTTAACAGTTGACGATTTTACTACTGCTTTTTTATATCCACCTACCCACCTACAAAGTAGGTGAGCTCACGAGGCTCAAACGGGAAGTGTAGCTAACACTGGCCCTAGCAAGAGCAGTGCTTCGCAGAATCTACCACCGGATCGGAAACGCGACCCACTGAGAAGATCCGGCGAGAAACTCGGTGGGCTGTTTTACTCACTACTATTGCTGCTAATACTAAAAATATTAGGGAAGTAGAAACAACAATACAATACAATTTACTGATGGTAGGACCTCTTATGACTTCGCACGGGTAGGTATCACCACCCCGCCTATTTCTGCCGTGAAACAGTAATGAGTTTCGGTTTGAAGGGTGGGGCAGCCGTTGTAACTATACTGAGACCTTAGAACTTATATCTCAAGGTGGCTGGCGCATTTACGTTGTAAATGTCTATGGGCTCCAGTAACCACTTGACACCAGTTGGCCTGTGAGCTCGTCCACCCATCTGAGCAATAACAAAAAAAGCAAAGCGTATACTTACTGTCCAAGATCCAAACAGCTCATTATTATCAAAATTGTAAAATCGATCCTGCAGGCTTGTTTTGATACGGGATATCTCTCTGTGTGTATATATGTATAAATATGTTTCCTTTTTCAATTTCCAGCGTATCTAACAACATTTCTGGCCTCGGCTTTAGTTCGTAAGATATATATATTTTTTATTTATTTTCATTTCCCCTTATTTTTTTTATAATATACAAAATTTCCACCATCACGTACAATATCAAAGACACATTATCGCGACGCTAAAGTATACCTTTTATGACGCGTCATTCATTCTAGTGGCTTCTAGAAACAAATCTGTTGCTCACACAAATGTTTGCCTGATGTGGGTATCGAACCCGCGACCCTCGACGCAACAGTTAGGGCCGCTAACTATTCCACCGCTCAGTCAGTCATAAAATATCACAGTTGTTTATAGATTATGAGTGCATTGCTAGCGAACGAACGTACTGTCAGCAATAATTGTTAAATCTTTATATAAATATATACTATTGGTCTTCCGATAGTCGAAAATTCGACTATAATTAATTGAAATTATAAGTTTGTACACTATTATGAGTCTATTGTCAAAGACTATTTATACTTCTATAATCACAGACTTCACCAAGACTACACTTTAGACAAATATTAATAAAGACAAACAATATTTATTCTATTTTTTTTTAAAGGGATTTTATGACCTGGTAACTAAGACCTTTAGGTCAAGTCTTATTTTAATTTTAATGATACGTAACTTTTTTAAATGAAAATGATATTATGAAATGAAATGAAGTTGATTATTATGAAACATGGCATTAAGTGAAATGAAAACGAAATGAAATGAGATGGGATAAAATATAATCTCTATAAATAAAATAAAAATGGTGATCAAATACTGAGACTTTTTCAGTGGACTTTTTGGAAGATCCCGAGAAGTTACCTCCAGCGGCTTTGTTTCATTTTCCCACATTTGTGCACTTTCACAGATATTAAACAGTTAATAAACCACCGTTATTACACATTTAAACCTGAAGAAACACGAAATAGACAAAATAAAACAAATCACACCACTTCACTCCTCGCGTTCCCGCCAAAAAGTCATATTTATTCTATTTTCAATTGGATCACAGACTATAAGCAATAAGAAAAGTTTGACAATAAACAAATAGTATGCATGCGTGTGTTTGTCAAATACATGATACATTCTGATAAAAGATGGCGCCAACAACATGATTTGTTTAAATAATCAAAACTTATTAAAAGTATTAAATGTTAATTTTAACTTAATTTATTTTTAATATTTTAGTCTGTGTATTGTTTTTTTTGTTGATCTGCACTCCTCTATATTCTCTATAAGTGTGGCAAATTTCATATTCCTCCGTCCGCGCAATTTTCGAAAAAAGGGGTACAAAGTTTTTGCTTCACCTATTAATATATAGATAGTTATATTGTACGTGACTGTGTCACCGAACTCCTCCTAAACGGCTGAACCGATTTGAATGAATTTTTTGTAAGCGTTTGGATGGCGCCCTGGATGGTTTAGATTCACAAATCAGCCCGGCAGATAGCGCTGCAGTCAGGATCTAGGTTATTTATTTATCTATACTGTAACTAAACGGCTGGATTGACTTGAATTAATTTTTGTGTATGCATTCATTCATTTATTTCATTCATTTTGTGTATACAGGACAACGTCTGTCGGGTATGTTAGTTATTTATAAAAATACACGTGTCGTTAAATGTTGGTCATGCAAACATAGTAGTTTTACGAGAAAAAAGTCTCAAACAGTCTTATTATAAACAGAAAAATGAAGCTAAACAATTGAATCACAATACTCTACTTAAATCCGTTGCACTTAAGGCCTTTTTTTCCCTAAAACTATATTTATCTCTGCCGCTATATCCGAGATAAGCGCGCTCTTAATCTAGAATTGAATCTGTAATCTTATTTGCCACTAGTATTACGACATTCCGGAAGAACGTCTAAGAAAAATCTCTCGGTTCTTTTGATTGTGCAATATTGTGTAGTGCCTAGAATTAGCCTTAAATATTTTGTTTTTAATGTTGCGACAGAATGTGTTGTTATAACATTTCATAAATTAGCGCATGTTAATAAAGCAAAACTTATAGATTCCTTCGTGCCTTAATATTAAAAAGTTTAAAGTGATTATTCCTGTAAGGAAATAGTTAGGATTATTTTAAAACGACTTGTTCTATCGATTTTTGGTATCTCAAAGAAATTGATGTGAATTGAAAGAGAGAAAAAAAATGTCACTATGGATGTAAATTAGTTTATGAGACAGCCGAAATGTCATCAGACAGTGACGGTATTATTAAAACATTAGTGAAGATCTTACATCAGTACATAGTGAGAGTATTGAAGGAACAAAATTGTAAGTTGTGTTACTGTGCGCTCTCATATTTAGTTCTTTAAAGTAATGTTTTTTTTTTGAATTGATAATTTTGCTTATGGTCATTAATATAATTAGCGTCGTATTTCTTTACGAAGTTAATTGATTGATTGATTCTAGGAAGGTGTGATCAAAATCTTTCTGGTTCCTGCAAAGCTATTACATGAACGTTACACGTTCAATTTTCTGATGTGGTCCGCGGCAAATTATCAAGTTGTCTTAATTATTACAATGTCGTCTATATAGAACTACAATTCATTCAAATTCAAATTCAAAATCATTTATTTCAACTTGGATGTCATCAAAAACACACTTGTTGAATGTCAAAATGTAAAAGAAAATGTTAACTCTACCTGCTACCACCGGTTCCAAAAAAAGCCACAGTCCTGAGAAGAACCGGCGAAACAAACTCAGCGGGTTTTTTTTTTTTGGATTTTCTCAAATATTTTCCTTTTTTTTTTTAAATAAGAAAACATACTTTACATTATACGAAAAAACAAGTCAAAAAATACAATTCAAATAAATAATAATAATAATAATGAAAAATGAAAAGGCCAGGAGCGAACGCCTCATTCCCACGTAGTGCCATCTAGTAAAAAATCCTTAACTTTATAATATGCCTTGTTGTTGTTATTATGGTAAAATATGAAGAAACAAAAGCGTAAGTCGCGTTACTGTACACCCTCATATTTAGTTCGGTTTTAGTGTGAGAAACAAACGAAGCTCACGAAGACATCGTAAATTATAATTGAGATTAATTTCTTTTTTTTTTTAGCTTAGATTGGTGGGACGGCTCAGTTATTGCTATTAGACTATTTGTGACTTTTCGAATAGTTTACAGTTTTCGTGATCACTGACTTTTCCTCTTTTAAGTTTCATTTTATGTCAATTTTGAAATCGTCATGGCCTAAAGGATAAGACGTCCGGTGCATTCGTGTTGAGCGATGCACCGGCGTTCGAATCTCAGGCGGGTACCAATTTTTCTAATGAAATACGTACTCAACAAATGTTCACGATTGACCGCCACGGTAAAGGAATAAAATCGTGTAATAAAAATCAAACCCGCAAAATTATAATTTGCGTAATTACTGGTGGTAGGACCTCTTATGAGTCCGCGCGGGTGGGTACCACCACCCTGCCTATACCTAATATTTGACCTTAATGTCTTATAAATATGTACGCGGTCATTTTTGGTTATTGAATTTGTGGAATAAATTTAAATATAAAAAAAAGATAACACACCATTCTGTATTAAAGCAATTTGCGCAAATAGCTACGCTATGTTCCGTAGTTATAGGTATAGCGGTAGGCAGCGGCTTGGCTCTGCCCCTGGCATTGCTGAAGTCCATGGGCGACGGTAACCACTCACCATCAGGTGGGCCGTATGCCCGTCTGCCTACAAAGGCAACAAAAAAAAAAAAAAAAAAAAGTTATAGGTTTTAAATCCAAACAACGCGCGAGGTTCGTCGCGAAAATCACATTTGTCCTGCACCAATTCGCCTTAAACTCATAAATAATGAAAATCATTAATCAAATAACATCCCTATAACGCTTTTAATATAATTAATTTACGTCTCAGGACATTGAAAATTAAAGAAAACATTTCAATCGTTATTTTAAAAACCTTCAACTAAAGGATATCATTGCAATAAGAATGGTTTTCCAGCATGTGCCGCGGCAAGACCACAGTCGCTTCCCGGAGCCGAGGCCTTCGGGCCCACCGCGGGGCCAGCCTCCATCTCTAGTCTCACTCCTGACCACCAGCTGAGGGAAGACTTCACGGTTCTGGCCAAAGATTTGGTCGCCAGCTTGAAGACCATCGTCGCCACAATGGTGAGTGCGAACTCTTTTCACCTCTTGAGGGAAAATGAAAAGACATTCTCTCTTCTCCGTTCACTCACTGCTGAGGATCGCGCTCACATGTGGCTCTCCTCAATAGTGTTCGGTCATGGGTGGCATGGACCTCATGGTATAGACTAGCACCGCTTTCTTAACCAGATCTGACCGTCTGACTGGTGTTCTGCCCACGGCGTGCTAGAAAAGACAATACTATAAACATTGGGCACAGGTGACAAAAACTATTCGAAGAGTTTCAAAGAGTTGGACGTTCTCACAGGCAGAGGAGTGACTGATTATAAATTTCTGATGCCAATGTTAGTATACGTTAAACGATCCGTCACTTTTCCGGCAGTCTGCGGAATCTCTTACACAATAGTTCTAACATGAATTTCCGGCACGCGCCAGACACTATGACGACAGAAACTTCGTGCAGTATTTATTTATTTTTTGCTTTGATGGTTGGACGAGCTCACCTTGAGATGTAAGTTCTAAGGTCTCAAGTATAGTTACAGCGGCTGCCTCACCCTTCAAACTGAAACGCGTTATTGCTTCACGGCAGAAATAGGCAGGGTGGTGGTACCTACTCGCGCGGACTCGCAAGAGGCCCTAACAAACAACAAAACAGTTCAAGTTACGCCGTTTTTTATTTAGGTTTGTGAACGCAGTCGCCTTAGGGCCGCCATGGAGGCCGCAGACTCGAACGGCTCGGCGGGAGGGTCCGTCGTGTCTGCGCTCCGAACCAACCTGACGTCGGCTCTGCAACAGAATTCTGGTGAGACCTGCTAGGTTCCACCCTCATCGATAGTTCACTGTGCTTTGAACTCTAACGCAGCATCACAGGGCTCCTTATAGCATTGTCTCCAGTCTTAACAATTCGTAAAGTCAATTACAATTACTTTTACAGCTTAGTCTCATTTATAACTGTCATGAAATTATCCCGACGCTCCGAATACTTCACAGTTACCCCGATAACCGTACTTGTCGAACTCGACAAAGAGGTCGACGTGCAACCTAGCCCATGCATCAGCACGCTGAGTTTCTCGCCGAATCTTCTCAGCGGATCGCCATTCCGGTCCGGTAGTAAATTCATTCGCGAAGCAATTGCTCTTGAGTTATTGGTCTCCTTCGGAGGCGCTCGGGCAGTTCTTAGCAAATCCTACTCCCCTGGCTGAGCCTTTGCTCGCCCACCTGTCCTGGTGAAACTAGAAAAGCCTCCCGGCCACCAGTAATCTACCAACCATTAAATAAAATAAAAACTTCACAGTTTATGGGCTTAATGAAAAAGGAAAGTTATTTAACGAACCGGATGAAGTTGCTCGGTGGACCGACCTTGTGGAAATTGTCGTTAGCGAAATTCAGGCGTCGGTCAATGATCTTGTGTTCGATTATGGCTAATCGTTTTCGGATCACGAAAAGTAAAAATAAAACCATAAACGTAATTTTGATTATAGGGTTCTTGGTTGGTCTCTGGGGCAAGTTCTGAAGATGCAATGCTGCGACTTTATCTCTAAACTAGCGACCCGCCCTCGCTTCGCTTCGGAAACATTAAAACACACATGAAACCAAAAAAATAAAATAATTTTTTTTTTTAAAAAGTAGCCTATGTTCATCAGGGACAATGTCGGCTTCTAATGGAAAAAGAATTTTTCAAATCGGTCCAGTAGTTTCGGAGCCTATTCGAAACAAACAAACAAACAAACAAACAAATCTTTCCTCTTTATAATATTAAGTATAGAAGTATAGACGTATTGTCCTTCGCAACTTTGGTAACAAAACGAAAAGAAATGGAATATACAATTATTTGCTGAGTATATCTGACCTCATCTCGATCGACTCCCATTTTGACCATGTTAAATTACTTCAAATCAATTCGACCACAAAACTGCGCAGTTTTCGAAAGGTCTAAAACAATCGCAACCTTAGGCCTTTGTTTTGTTTTAAAAAAAAAGAACTATTCTGTACGTAAATAATGAGTAGTGAAGGTGCGGTTGCAGAGTTGAGGTCCCGCCTGTCCAGGATCCACCTGGCGTCCGACATCGCTGAGATCGGCTCCGTGGGACCTGCTGATGCGGTACGTGTTACGATTTATCCGTGTTCTATGACACTTAATTCTCATTAAAAAATCTATTTAATTTATTTATAGCTTAAATGGGGTGTGGACGAACTCACAGCCCATCTGGTGTTAAGTGGTTACTGGAGCCCATAGACATCTACGACGTAAATGCGCCACCCACCTTGAGATATAAGTTCTAAGGTCTCAGTATAGTTACAACGGCTGTCCCACACTTCAAACTGAAACGCATTACTGCTTCACGGTAGAAACAGGCAGCGCAGTGGCACCTACCCGTGTGGATTTACAAGAAGTCCTACCACCAGTGAAAGAAAAATCTATCAATACCTTGGAATTGCTTGTTGCGGAATATCGAGTCAAGTGACGGTCCATTTGGGCTGGAGTGGTTACTCAATCACAGAGGCATCACAACATGGATGTCACCACCTGGTCTAAGTCTCCGCACTACAGTACAACGGCAGCCCCACCCTTCAAACCGGAACGTATGTGACTTCACGGCAAAAATAGCGAGAGAATACTATAGAATATTTTTAAAGGTTCCACTTCTACCATGTCTATCTTCAAACGAGGCTTATGAAGAGTATTTAATGGTAGGCAGCGGCTTGGCTCTGACCCTGGCATTGCTGAAGTCCATGGTCGAAGGTACTCACTATCAGGTGGGCCGTATGCTCGTCTGCCTATAATGGCAATAACAAAAAACGTGCCAAATGTGGTCATACCGGAATTAATAGCTGTATCTAGGTTCATTGATTCTCCGTCCCCAGGTGAACCGTCCATTCCAGCAGTCTCTCAGCTACAGCTCGTCCTGCGTGTCTGCTTCGGAGTTCTTCGACGCGGAGGAGCATGAAGATGACGATCTAAAACATGAAGAAATCATTGCGGCTGATGAGGTAACGACATATCTATAGTTTTTGTGGTGGGTGGGTGATCGAATGAACTCATGGGGGGGGGAGGTTTCATACATCACGACGTTGAAATCGCTATCCACCTTAAGAGAGGTGGTGGCAGCCATAAACAAGAAGGATTAGAAACCAAGAGTTATATTGCTATCAATTTCTAATCAGGACTCCAATGTCGCCATCCATGTTAAGACATGTGGTAGAAGCCATAGACCTGCCATAGCCATAGCAACAACTTTATTGCTATCAATTTTTAACCCGACAATATAGGGCTTTGGTAACCAGTTCACCTTCGAACATGAGATCCTTAAAGCGGTCCTCGTTTTCAGAGCGGCGTCATAGAGCTGGACGGTGACTCCTCGTCGGAAGCTGGGTCCTTGAGCAGCGAGGAGGGCTCGGCCAGCTCGGACAACTCTGAGGGCGCCGGTGAGTCTCCACACCCCTCACCCTGACCTCAGCCGTGACCATTCCTTTGTCCTCGCTGTCAGTAGCCCGCGAAACAGAGCATGCCACATCCAAGTTTTCATTCATTTATGCCTCCATGTTTTTTAGAGCTGTTGATGGTCAGATAAGCACGTCGCCCACTGATAAACGGATACTGAAGTCACTTAACATTAGATTGAGGTCTCAGTTTGTACTTTAGTTGTGTAGCCGTTCCATTTGTTTTTCCAACTTTCATAGCATAGCGTATGAGGTCCCTACCCGTCCCGTGGTGAGGCAGCCAGTTCAGTGTTGCCATCTCTTAATATTAATCCTTACTGGTCTCGGTCATTCGAAAAACTCACACCCTGTATGTAGCGTAATTATTATTGTTACTAGTTTTTTTATTTTATTTTATTCTTAGAGGGTTAGACGTACTCATAGCCCACCTGGTGTTAAGTGGTTACTGGAGTCGATAGACATCTACAACGTAAACGCGCCACCCACCTTGAGATATAAGTTCTAAGATCTCGGTATAGTTACAACGTCTGCCCCGACCTTCAAACCGAAACGCATTACTGCTTCACGGCCGAAATAGGCAGGGCGGTGGTACCTACCCGCGCGGACTCACAAGAGGTCCTACCACCAGTGGCTCCTCTAGCGGTGGTATAGTGGTAACGTGAGTGTCCCGTCAGCGGGTGCGGGGGAGGTGCGGGCGCGCGCGGGGGGCTGGTCGCGGCGCACGCGGCTGCCCGCCCCGCGCCCCGCCGCCGCTGCGCCCACCGTGTGGAACCTGCTCTACAAGAACATCGGGAAGGACCTGAGCCAGATATCCATGCCGGTCACCATCAACGAGCCCCTCAACATGCTGCAGGTAGACCCTCACTCTGGCCCGAAATATTCCTTTTTATCATAATTAATTATTTTTCCTAGCAATCCTGGTCTAAGGATATTAGGTCGTAATAATAAAATTATGGTATCGTCAGAGGTTCTTGATACTATAGAAAATTTTCAAGTTGATCGCACGTCTTAAAATTTTCACTAAATTTATACAACATGAGTATCGTTGGGTCATTCATTCATTCATTTATTCATTAAACCACAGAACGAGATAGACAATGACAATTTCGTTTAACTCATTTCAAACAATGATTACGACAAAAAAATTGCAATGTCATAACAAGCTTTATAAAGCTTAAAAATTTCTGCAGATTTCAACAATATTACGGTGAATGTTATTAAATATCACTTTAATCGTAAAGACAAAAGAAGCTGTTTGATATCCAGATCATATCGACGCTTGAAAGGCAAACGTGACTAAGCGACAATGCGTGAACTTTACAGTAGACTAATTTAAAGTTGAAATACCTGAAAACAAAATTTATTTTAACGAATCCAGCTGCAGTAGAATCTAGCTAGTAGCTGTAGGATTGAAATTATTTTAATAGACCTAGAAATATATATTTTTTGCGCATCGAATATGGTTATTGCCTTTCATTTATGTACAAAGCAGTTATTGTCGCTTAGTCACGTTTGCCTTTCAAGCGTCGATATGATATGTTACCCATTACGGTACCGTCCGTGAACACAATTCAAGGGTTGGCACAACAATACTTTGTTCGTTGCGTTCCAGTGCTGTTGATTTCTAAGCTATTTATATGGGAACATTATGGTTTTTCTCAAGTAGATTATTCTAATAGAACACTCAATACCGTCTTTACCAAAAGGGCACACGGGGCCCGTGCCCAGGGCCCCCTGAGAATGGGGGCCCCGAAGGACCGACAATTTGGTTAGCAATTGTAGTCGAGAGCGGTCATTTTCGCAGCTTAAGAGAATAAAAAATGAATTGCGAACAACAATGTTACAAGAACGGCTGAGTAATTTGTCAATTATGGGCATAGAAAGTGATATCCTATAAAAAATTGACTTTAAAGATATAATGGAATATTTTGCTCAACAGAAATCCCGAAAGAAACTATTATCGTAATCGTAACCAAAAAACCAGCAGCATTCTAATATCATTAATATTATTATATCATACTGTATTTGATTGATTACCTATAATAAATGGTCATACTTAGTAAAAAAATGTTATTATATTCGCTTTTTTTACTTTCCAAAAGGGCCTCAAATTCTTGTGTGCCCAAAGGCCCCAGCCTAGTTTAAGACGTCCCTGAGAACACTATATACAGTTTTAGGCTTAATTTTCCCCTCGGGACACCCTGTATAGCTACAAAAGGAGCTGATAAAAGCGTGTGAATATTGTGTAATAATAACAAAGAAAGGAACAACATAGATAGATAATATTTATATTGTTGATATAAATATTATCTATCTAACTCAATTGTTGAGTTAAGCTCGCCATTTTATAACTTTTCGCAATTATTGTATTGTATTAACTGTGTGTACAAGAAAGACATAAAAACATGAAATGGAAACTCTGTTTACTCTAACATACAGCAGCGAATGTCTGTCCGTCAGTGTACTTAGAGAAGTACTTTAAAGGTAATCATTTTCTTTTTGTAATTACCTTTTAGCGTCTGTGCGAGGAGCTGGAGTACTCGGAGCTGCTGGACGCGGCGGCGGAGTGCGGCAGCCCGGTGGAGCGCATGTCGCTGGTGGCCGCCTTCGCGGTGTCGGCCTACGCGGCCTCCGCGCACCGCGCCGCCTCCAAGCCCTTCAACCCGCTGCTGGCCGAGACCTACGAGTGCATCCGGGACGACCGCGGCTTCCGGTTCATTGCTGAACAGGTGCCGTGCCCCATCTAGCTCAGGGTCTAATGCGTCCGGGTAGATGCGATGTAGGAGTCCCGCTTCCCAGGACGAATACAGGCTATAGTTAAATGCCACCACCCCGCCTATTTCAGCCGTGAAGCAGTAATGCGTTTCGATTTGAAGGGTGGAGCAGCCGTTGTAACTATACTGAGACCTTAGAACTTATATCTCAAGGTGGGTGGCGCATTTACGTCGTAGATGTCTATGGGCTCCAGTAACCACTTAAAACCGAGTGGGCTGGGAGCTCGTCCACCCATCTAAGGAATAAAAAAAATTTATATAGCGCACACCCCTATTAGTTACTCCTCGTGGGTCTTTGAGGGGGATGCATGCGGGGGAAGCGACAAAGAAGCGCCGCGGGTCGGTCCCCAAGCTTCCAGAAAACTTAGCGATTCAGGCGATACAAACAAGAAAATAATTGTGTTTACCTCATTTACTTATCTTTCAAATTCATTGTTGATTGTTCACCCATCATTGAACTGTGATGGTTTTAATTGTGATGGTAAAATTTATTAGCTGACTTAAAATACATTATTTAGGACGTCTCCCTGTCATACTATCTAATCTAAAAATATATAAATCTACAGCGGTTTTTATAGTTATAACTACTGAACCATGCATCCGATTGACTTGAAACTTGGCATCCATGTAGAAAATACATGTACTTAATGGATAGGCTAATATTTATATGAATGTTGGACTCCCTATACCAGGGGGGGGGGCCTATTGCGGGGGCGTTCATGATGAGAATCTTTGTGGGGGTGAGAAATAATAATGTTAACTATAAATGCTCAGCGAAGCGAACGGATACAGCTAGTACTATCTAAAATGACAATCAGACGACTTAGTTAAGGAATTAGACTCCCCCGCCCCCCGCCGTCCCCCGAGCCCGCACCGCACCCCCCCGCATTGACTCGAGCCCCGAACGATCCCTTCTCAGTTTTGTTTTAAAAAACCTGTGTGAATCTTGAACTCCACGGTACGTAATTATCCCAATGTTACTGGTAGGTCTCACACCACCCCCCCATATCAGCGTGCCACGCGGAGTCTAGCCGCTGGTGCTTCTGGCAGGAGGCTCGCATCAAAACCAAGTTCTGGGGGAAATCGATGGAGTTCCAGCCGACGGGGCGGGTGCACGTCCGGCTGAAGACCACCGGCGATCATTACACTTGGAACAAGGTGAGTCTGGCCCGCTGGTGGATGACGTCACGTCACTACTGCGCAGTATCAACAACGAACTACTCAAGAAACTGATGGCAGCCATCTTAGTACATACATGACAATATATACATGAATAGACAAAGACCAAACCTTTAAATCATACAATACATATTACCTCGTCTGTTTGTCAACAGAATTTCTTTTTAAATTTTTTGTTTAGTGACTCAGCCATAATAAGCGTTATCAATATTTTCTTTGTTACTGTTGAATTAAATGAAAGTATAGCAGTTTTATAACACGTAGTTTTAATTGAGAGCGTTCTATCAAAGACCCGGAAACGGAATCACAAACTTACATAGATCATCTTAATGTATAAACTAGAGATATACTCATCACACCAATAGATTATAAAGTAGGGTTAAACTTTCTAACTTCAACAGTTACGTTAAGAAAATAATAATAAAAAACAAATTTGACACATATTAATTAAATAATAACTAAAACGGGATTTAAAATTTAGAATAATCATCCCTATTGTGTATGTTTGCGATATAATGGCGAAATAATGCTTTGGATGGGTGAACCAACTTACCGCCCACCTGATGTAAAATATTAATTGTCCTACTACACTAAGGTGTCCGTGTGCAGGTGACGACGTGCGTGCACAACCTGTTCGGCGGCCAGCGCTGGGTGGACCAGTACGGCGACATGCACATCGCCTGTGTCGGCGCCGACATCACCTGCAAACTCAACTTCGTCAAGGTAACGGCCGCCACGCGCTGCCCACTGTACGCTGCACCTCCACTGTACACTATACCTCCACACTGTACACTATACCTCCACACTGTACACTATACCTCCACACTGTACACTATACCTCCACACTGTACACTATACCTCCACACTGTACACTATACCTCCACACTGTACACTATACCCCCACACTGTACACTATACCCCACACTGTACACTATACCTCCACACTGTACACTATACCTCCACACTGTACACTATACCTCCACACTGTACACTATACCTCCACACTGTACACTATACCTCCACACTGTACACTATACCTCCACACTGTACACTATACCTCCACACTGTACACTATACCCCCACACTGTACACTATACCCCACACTGTACACTATACCTCCACACTGTACACTGCACCTCCACTGGCAAAGTATTAATTGTAAATAGAAGATGAGCGACACAAAGGTGGTTTATCTTAGATTTACGAATCGAATATGCCATTACAAGTTTTAATAGTAATTAATCATTGTCGTCCATAATGAAAGGCCAGTATATGTAAACGCGTGTTGTCTGCAGGCCAGCTCGTGGTCCAGCAGCCGGCACGAGGTGCGCGGCAGCGTGTCCGGCGCGCACAACGTGCGGCTCGGCGGGCGCTGGTCCGAGGGTCTGCACGCCGGGGACCCGCCCGCCGCCCGGCCGCTGTGGAGACCCGGTACTGTTCTATCACCTAGCTTTATTTGTATGATGTCGTCAAGTAAAAATGTATTCATTATTAATGGTTATTGCGACCTACCTCATTCGCCTCTCAATGGAATGATGAACTTGATCATGTTTTTTAATAAAGTAGCAATAACAAAGCATAGGGTTATCGCGTTTTCGCTATTCGTGGGGACTGAATTTTAAGATTATTTTGTTGTCTGTTCAGGTGTTCCCTGTGAGACTAAATGGTCCCATTTTTGAGTCAAGTTTATGTATTAGATTTTTGAACAAAGTTATAATAGTACTGTGTGTTGTCGTCACCAGGCGCCATGCCCCCCGACCACGAGCTGTACTACGGGTTCACGCGCTTCGCCATGGAGCTCAACGAGCTGGAGCCCGGCATGCGGGAGCTGCTGCCCCACACCGACACCAGGCTCAGGTCGGCAACAACCCCGCCCCCCCCCTCGCGATGTGGATGGAGTGCACGCTGTCAATAGATTTTATTTTTGACGTGACAACGTCTTATAATTCGATGGAGCCGGCTGCACGCACGAAAAAACATGACTCATGAGGCGTTCCATTTAAGGCTTGAAGTGCAAGCGAGAGCGCGCAACGAGCGACAAAGAGGCACAATCGGCCTCCGCGTTCGGCAGCGTTCGACATCTGTCTCTCTCCTACTTGAGTGAGCGATGCATCCGCGTGGACAGCTGCTATACAATAATACATTTACATGCTTTCGTCAAGTATGAAGTTCAGTGAAAAGTGAATGTGGTGTCAATTGTTTATAGCAACGATAATTGCGATAATTGAAAAATGAAACCATTCCATCAGTATTTTCTTATGACGTTGTCACGTTCAACTATCGTCAGTAAACCGACTTTATAGACAACCGATTTTTCTTGATTAGATGGGTGGACGCGCTCACAGCCCACCTGGTGTTAAGTGGTCACCGGAACCACATGGACATTTACAACGTAAATGCGCCACCCACCTCGAGATATAAGTTCTCAAGTCTCAGTATAGTTACAGCGGCTGCCCCACCCTTCAAACGGAAATGCATTACTGCTCATAGCCTTATGGTGTTGGAGACCCCCGTATAGCAGTGAAGCTAGTCATGCTTATTTAGATTTATTTACCTTCTGCTCTATGTTGTCGAAACCAATGAAGTGTCTGATTCGTGAGAGTTTTCGGGCGTTTTAATGTTTTTTAATACGCTCTTATTAGTTTCAGACGTATGTAATGTTAGTATGTAACGGAATCTTTGAACATGATTTTGACCCCCTTCAAAACGTCGGATTAACTCGAAATTTGGCATACTTATTAAGGACCGATGACAACTCAATATTAAAAAAAATAATTGAAAATATTGAAATTCAACTAAAAAATGAAAAATAAATAATAGTATAAAAAAACCAAAAAAATACACTTTTATAGAAAATCCAACTAAAAAATAGAAAATATATTTTAATTAAAACTAGTGTAAGAAAAAATNCAACTAAAATATGAAAAATAAATAATAGTATAAAAAAACCAAAAAAATACACTTTTATAGAAAATCCAACTAAAAAATAGAAAATATATTTTAATTAAAACTAGTGTAAGAAAAAATAATTTTATTGTAAAAAAAAAAGCGTGGGGTGCATGGTATCAGTAGTCATAAATATTTTATGAACAGATATGAGTAGAAGGGTTATTTTGATAATATCCTCAAAAGCACCCCACGGTTTTTTTACAATAAAATAACTTTTTCTTACACTGTTTTGAATTTAAATTTATTAAAATTTATTTTCTATTTTTTAGTTGGATTTTCTATAAAAGCATATTTTGTTAGCTTTTTTTAACTATTATTTATTTATAATCCTTTCAGGCCGGACCAGCGCGCCCTGGAGGAGGGCGACGTCGAGGCCGCCGAGCAGCTCAAGCACGAGCTGGAGCAGGCGCAGCGCGAGCGGCGCCGGGCGCGCCCCGACCACGCGCCCGCCTGGTTCCGGTGAGCACCCCCCCAACCCCCCGCGCGGCCCCATAGACATGTACGACGTAAATGCGCCACCCACCTTGAGATATAAGTTCTAAAGTCGCAAGTATAGTTACAACGGCTGCCCCCAACTTCAAACCGAAACGCATTACTGCTTCACGGCAGGAATAGGCAGAGCGGTGGTAGTACCTACCCGCGCGGACTCACAAGAGGTCCTACCACCACCAGTAATTACGCAAATTATAATTTTGCAGCAAGGCGGCGAGCGGCGGCGAGGAGACGTGGCAGTTCGCGGGCGAGTACTGGGCGGCCAGGGACAGCGGCTTCCCGAACCTCAGCGCGCCCAGGATCTGGTGACGTGCGGCTCCGCACCACGTTAGTGTCCTTTACTCCTGCAGCTCTGCGGGCCGATGCACACTTAGCGCGCGTTCAACAACAAGCCGGTTGACAACATTGAGACACCCGATGTATCGTAGAATAGAGATTTTAACCATACGTCTCAATATGGTTGACGATATTCACTTTGTGATATCTATGGATTTGGGTGACTAATTAACACCGGCTAAGCAGTAAATACGCCCCATCTAAACAAAAAACAGCTGATCAAATACAAAAAACCTACTGAATAGCTCGCAGCCCAAGAACATGTGTACAATGACCCCTACGGTCACGTAACGATATAATAAAAACATAAATAACTTTCGTGTCTCACACCCGCAGAGCCTCCCGTCGCGCGAGGTGCTCTGCTAACGGCTCGGCGCCCGTCGCGCGAGGTGCTCTGCTAACGGCTCGGCCCCCCGTCGCGCGAGGTGCTCTGCTAACGGCTCGGCCCCCCGTCGTGCGAGGTGCTCTGCTAACGGCTCGGCCCCCCGCCGCGCGAGGTGCTCTGCTAACGGCTCGGCCCCCCGTCGCGCGAGGTGCTCTGCTAACGGCTCGGCCCCCCGCCGCGCGAGGTGCTCTGCTAACGGCTCGGCGCCCCTGCGCCACTCCGGCTTCGTTGGAACCGATATTTCGAATAATTATATTCAAGTCGATTCTTGTTTAATCTACTTTTTAAATCGATACATGAATTAAAAAAAAATTGCTAGCTTAGTAGTGATTGCGAGGTATTTAAGGAATTTCTTAACGCGTTCACAATCTATTTATCGACGCTAAACTCTGTACAATGATTTCGAATCAACTATCTTATTGTCCTCGTCTAGTATACAATACTAATCATAAATAGTATTTGGCTGTGAATAATTGAAAACACACTATATAGATGTTTGGTTCATTTATTTTCATTTACAAAAGCCAAAGGCTTGTGTTTAGCTTCGTGACGGTAATTAAAAGGTGTTCGGTGTTTAATAATGAAATTTTAAGGATTTCAGAAGGAAATTTTGCTTATTACTAATTAATTTTTAAGGTTTACTTAATACGAACTAAGGACATTGGGAGGTCGGTAAGCTAAACAAAAACACACAATGCTTTATATATATAAATATAATTTTATAGTACATTGGACACTAAAGGCAAAAGATACGTTCGCTAGAATATGATCGCACATGTTCATAGTGCTCTTGAAGGCTCAACAAGTGGTCTGCCATGAGCACAAAAGCGCTAAAATCGGATTACAGCGCCCCCTACCGGTTCTCGGTCTAACTCTGAAAACACTAAATATATAAATTTTTTTGCCCTTGTAGGCAGACGAGCATACTGCCCACCTGATGGTGAGTGGTTACCGTCGCCCATTGACTTCAGCAATACCAGGGGTACAGCCAAGCCGCTGCCTACCGCTATTTATACATGAATATATATATAAAGATTACAAACAATTACAATTCGCAGTGTTCAATTTGAATAGTCACATCCGACCTTCTGCCCTTAATGTCGCTCTATGTAAATACATGATTTAATTAATTAAATAACATAAAATTAATTAAACAGTTCTTTCAAACTTTATTGTTCCTCTAACCGGGTTGTATTAAAAGACAAAAACATTATGTATACTGAACTAATATTGAAACGTTACGCTACGATGAATTGTTAGCTCACGAGTGCTCACAGAAGCTCACAGAAGCTCTGCCACACCTTGTTCTTATTCGTTTCGATCTGTTTTATTTGATCAGTCATTCAAACCAAATCTTATAGCAGGTTTTTTTTATTGCTTAGATGGGTGGACGAGCTCACAGCCCACCTGGTGTTAAGTGGTTAGTGGAGCCCATAGACATCACGCAAATGCGCCACCCACCTTGAGATATAAGTTCTAAGGTCTCAGTATAGTTACAACGGCTGAAGCCGGTTTGAAGGGTGGGGCCCTTCAAACCGAAACGCATTACTGCTTCACGGAAGAAATAGGCAGGGTGGTGGTACCTACCCGCGCGGACTCACAAGAGGTCCTACCACCAGTAATTTGGTTTGATCGCGGACGTAAACGTAAGAAAGATCCCATTCCGAAATACATCCATCTCAGATTTACTTCGACATTACGATTTCCCTATCCGCGAGTGCGAGCGGAATAGCTATATGTCTCCGCGAAAGTGATGCAAAATGTACATACAGCTAATCGAATTGGATTTCAGGGGGTATGCAACTAAGCTGCGTTCATGTAACTCTGAAATTTTGAATTGTTGAAACATATACGGGTTTATTGGTTGTTTTAAATGTAATAAGTGACCGGACACACCAATTAAAAATATTCTATAAAAAAATGCTATAATGAAGTAGATATGCTAAATAGGTATATGTATATGTGGGTGACTCAAATGTATTTATTTATAATATTTTATATTTATTTCCAAAGTTTTAAAAATTAAATGGCTCTCCTGTAAAGTCGAGATATACCTGAAACTATTCAATAGGTATTTATTATGACATTTTTTTCGCGTTCTAAGCTAAACACCAATCGCGGCTCGTGACGTCACATGTGGGTAACTTAGTTACGTTAGTGTTTCGATCCGTCTTCAGTCCGATGTTTGCTCGCTTCGTTAGCGAAGCAACGTTAATTAACTGTTGTCCGGTATCACATTCAGGTCACAAATATTGTAAATAAGACTATTTATTTATTTATTTGTAACGATCGTTTGGTCGGTCTCTGGAGACGCCGTAGCGACATGTCACATAAAAATGACAATAAACTGTATTTCATGTAAAAAATTATATATACATATTTAAATACGTACCGTCAATCTGGGTAACTTTGTCCCGCCATGCGAACAATTCTGTACGTATTGTCTCAGTTTTACTGGATAGTATATAAAAAATATGGATTTTCCGTGGGCTTGAAACATTTACTTCTTTATAGTACTACTACTTTATAATACACCTCATATAATTTAAAAATTTCAAAGTCTATGGTAACATGTATCCCGTTTGGAAATCTATATATATTAAAATGAATTGCTGATCGTTAGTCTCGCTAAAACTCGAGAACGGCTAGACCGATTTGGCTAATTTTGGTCTTGAATTATTTGTGGAAATCCAGAGAAGGTTTAAAAGGTAGATAAATATGAAAATGCTCGGAATTACATAAACATAATTTAGTTTTTCCTTTGATGTGTCCGCCGTCGGACAGATTCCTTTTGTTTGTTTTAAGTTTATTTTATGCAAAAGTTTAGGTATTTTATTTATCGATTGAGGCACTACGAAGATTGCCGGGTCAGCTAGTATATTATAAATATGCGCATTAAATAGCCCCATCGCTTGATACCAGGACGCAGAGTCTTGAGTCTATTTAGGCCTATATGTCTTCACGCTATGTAATTAATTAATATTTACGGGACTAGAACTTCTGAAAAGGCTTCTCTATCTTCGTTTCTTAATGCGTGCTGGATAAATCCGTTTCAGTCTTTATCGATGTACAATGTATGAACAGATATGTAAAAAGTGAGTAAGTGGGCTAATGTTAAAGGGAAAGCTTAAGTTACCCTGATTGACGGTATATTATGTAGCTTATAAATTGTTAATACTTAATAATATGTAAAATGTTGAATGTTAATGTTTTTCTTTTCTGTTCGAGGCTCGTCCGCCCGCGCTTGTCTTTCGCTCTTATAATTGAAGACGCGAGTGGATGAAGGTGTTATGTGCCTACAAACCCATATTAGACCTTAAAACTCCGGGTATAAAGGCTGTTTTTAGAAATTGCATGCGATGAAGTAATTACGAAGAACAGATATATCACATTGAATGAAAGTAACTTATTCACTAAACGCACGTATTCTTTAATTTTAAATGATTCCAAAAAAGAATGACCTCCATATTTGTAAAAAAAAATATGGAAGATATTTATCCCTCCATATTGGTAATTTTCACGTTTAAAATAATAAAAATAACAGCCGCAAACGCATATAATATCATAAAAATAAATAACAAAAGTTTTGAGTTTTTTCTCAAAATTAACAAATTTTATCATACCCCCTTGATCCACTCATGTTTTCAATGCTAAGTAAGTAAGGAGTAAGCTTTCATTTTGTAAATAAATAATGAGACTTCTGTTAATTCTTAAGTCTACTAACTCTAGTACGTAAGCGTTTCTCATAATGCACCTAAAAATTGCCTTTACAACAAAATGTAATTATTTATATTACTTAGATTTATTATTATTATGAGAGAATGCGAAAACCGAATCAAATGGAAGCTGAGGGTACAAAGAGCCACAAAGGGCTTTCAAGGACACGACCTTCAGCAATGAAGTATTCGACTAAGAAGAAGATGCTTTTGCCAAAATTGCTTAAGGCAATTAAATAATGCTGTGCGTTGAATAAAAAGATACATTAAGAAATATGAATCAAATAAGATTTCGTTAACTATTCCATTATCGGCTTATTGTTTTTTTTTTTACATATATTAAAATCAAAACTATTAAGTCGAACAAAAAAGTCAATTTCATAGAATTAACTAAGCGAAAATTAATAAACTTGGATGCTTGTGAAGGTTGAAGGTATTACCGTTGGAGGCGTTTCAATTACGACTGTTTGTTATTTGTTTGCTTTTCCTTTACATAAATACATTTACTTGAAAAATATCACCTATTTTCATTCGGCGGTAGGATAAAAAAAAAGCTTCAGAGAGATATTATTACGAATGCAACTGAAGTTGCTATTTATTTAAGGGTAACTTAAGGTTGACTTTTGTGTGTCGCCAGCAACGAATCCAGACGCCGGTATCGCTGATGGCGGACATGAAAATAATAGGCAATGTATATCAAATTTGAATCGACTTCTCGTTACATTGCCGGTTTACGATTTAACGTAACAAAGTACTTGTACTCTTTTTTTTTTAAATAAATTAATATTCTTTGTTTATATTGGCATGTTATTTTATCACCCCCGTTTCAGGGGTTGATAGCTAAACTTTTTGTCTATGTGTTTAAAGTAAATTATATATACTGGGTGTTAGGTGATCGCTTCCCAAAACGAAGACAGACGATAGTACTAATGACTATGATGATGGAGTTATTTAGACAAATGCTGTAAATATGTATTAGTGCCGCGCCGCGCCCCTAAGTTCGTTGACCCGAGCATCAGCTGTTTTTGATTTTGTGTTTCATTGCTGGTTTTTTTTAAAATAAAGTAATGTATTTTTTTTTATGAAACTAATGTAATTTATGTGTACTAACATGATAGAGCGTAAATAATGCTAATAAAAAGTTTTAACATATGTATCTATATATTAATACGTGAAGCAAAAACTTTGTATCCCATTTTACGAAAATTGCGCGGACGGAGGAGTATGAAATTTTCCACACTTATAGAGAATATAGAGAAGAAGTGCACAATGCTAATATTTTTTTAAAATAATGCATAAAAGATACATTAAATCAATAAAGAAAACATTACACACACTACATACCATGTATTTAGCGCACACACGCATGCATACTATTTATTGGCAAACTTTTGTTTTCGACGTCTGTTGTCAAATTGAGATTAAATATTGTTTGTCTTTGATAATACTTTTTATAGTGTAGTCTTGGCGAAATTTGTGATTATAGAAGTATAAAATACAATCACAATAGTGTACAAACTTACAATTCCAATTAATTATAGTCGAATTTCGACTACTGCGGAACCTCTAGTTTTTTATTTTCCGTCCCGTCATCAAAGGTGTAATTAATACTATCATCTGTCTTCGTTTTCGGAAGCGGTCTCCTAACACCCAGTATATTGATATCGGCTGGGGCTCTTCTATTATCTATTACTAAAATAACATGAAATGTTAGCTGTAATCTTGGCTAGTGACTACAGAATAGGGTGGCTAGAAATGTTAATAAACTTTGTTAGTACAATCTATTGTTAATACGCTTTGTGTGTGCCGTTTTGTGATATCTGAAATTATAACACCTTGGATTGGTTCCGCGTTATACGAAACGCGTTATAGGAGTATTATCGCATAACGCGCTTCTATGATCCCATATAACGCGTTATGTACAAACATACTACAATATAACCAATGTTTTTACAATTAAAAAACTAGGAACACAAATTTAATTAAAAAATTAATTTAATTTAATTTTACAATTAAGACAATGCTTAAAGGTAGGTACGCGAAATTAATTATGAATCACACAAATCATTATAAATTTCACTGTACAGAAATATAACGTTAGAAATCCCCGCGTTATATGGGGGAATACCCGTGTTATACGAGGGACGGAAATCGCGTTATATGAAAATGCGTTATAAGAGTACCGTGTTATAAGGAGATTACTATATATCTATGGGAAATGTTTGAGAGCGCTTACATATTCAGGCAATTGATGGCAATAGTGTCGGCCATATAATTCACATATCACAAAACGGACATCCGTTTCCTTATTGAATTCGTTCGCAAATGAACGTATTGATAAGTATGTACTTAATTTTTAGATATTCCTATTTTATTCAAAAGTTAATTTCGCTGTAATAACTAGTTTTATTAGTGATATAATGTATACTAATTGTTTGATAGTTTTTAAGTGTTTAATTGATTAATGAATTAATTAAAATACATTGTTAAAGAAAAGGCGGTAAATAAAATGTTTGTTACATTGCAATAAAGAGTACGACACGCAGAGTTTCGTTTAAGGTTTGGTTTCAAACTTAATAATGTAGAGCCTAGTAAATGTGATATACACCATTGTGTAAATAGCGTAATAGTTAGCTTCATATTTGTATGGAATGGGATCGTTTCCCTATGTTTGTCGCTAGGGGCGCTGTTCCAACTGCATACAAAATTAGGTTAACTTTTACGTTATCGAGAACGTTAAAAAACTCGCACTAAGCACTCTGAAGGATGTAAGCCAGATTCGTCAACATTCTGCACAAAAAAATTACATTTGTTTTTTTTTTTTCGAATACGTAACAAACATTTTATTCAGTGAAAAAGACAACACCAAAATCTAATAATTCCTAATAATAAAATAAGGTTTTTGACAATACTTGCAGTTTTACTATTTATAGTTTTGTTTCTGTATTACTGTTGTCTAATGAATTGTTTCATTTCAAAGAAACTTCTAGAATACAGTAAGTGCCTTTGTCGAGTTTTCTTTACGAAAAGAAAAAAAAACACGCTATGTACTTGTTATGTATTATATTGCACACGTTTAAATTATGTACCTACCGATAAATAAATAAAAATGTTTTTGGTTAATAAAGAACTTTGATGTATTGCAATAAAAATAGTTATTATTTTAAAACCTTATTAACTTTTTTGCGGTCAGCTATCATAAAACAAGATATTTGATAAATACCTGGACCTGGACCTGAACAACGACATTTTCAAGATCAAGCCTGCATAATATATTAAACAAGTTCTGAACAACAACATCCGAACCGACGTTACGTGTCGGTTTACCGAGCAATATCACCCACTCGGTAGAAAATCGTCCTTTTCTCGTTTACCCCCAAAACAACTACCTATACAGTTTATCTGTACCTATTATTTATGTTTTTTTTATTGTCTCTAAAAGTTATAAACTATTTTATTTCATTATAAAAGTCTTGTTAGGTATCACAACAGCTTTCAATTTTCCCGCTAAAATGTTCGAAGCTGACACAATAAAAATCGAAATTCTCATTTGAACTTCATAACATAAATTACCGGATTCTAATAATCTTCTCTAAAATGGCAGAAATTCGTGGAAAGCTCGACCGTGTTTTTCGAAGAATGGATCAGAGAAGTCACGTTCTGTACCTACCTAGTATATTTTTCCAGTACCTACCATACTTTTAAACTATAACTTTAAACTGTAATAACAATATTAATATAACCATCAAATTAGTTATAACGTCGAAATCTGATCTGAAACGACTACAAATAATGACAGTAATACAGAGAAAACTGGTTCGGTAGATCCACCTGGGAAGGAACTGCCTTTGAACTGTTAGACATCCTTCAGGGGCGCTTGAACAGTCGTCACCAAACAATCGCTATCGACTGAGTCTTTAAGTTCAACCCATGATGGGCTGCCCATCCATCCTGATATAGCTGTAATGGCTTCTGAAACAACAGAAATCTCTTGACCCACAAAAAAACAAATGTATTTGGGATAAGCTTGCTCTAGTTTGTTTTCTTTCATTTATTCTACTACACCTACTGTATATTATTATTTTTATAATTCCAGTATTTTGTATCATACTTTACATGGTTCCTTTATATATTTTATTATAATTTCGTGTCCATTTTTAAAATTAGTGCATCATTATTTTGTATCTTCTTAAACGGGCAAAAGTAGTCAGATTGTCGCAAACGTTTAAAAACATTTACAGTGGAGATATAGGCTACATTCATTGGAAGAGTTATTTTGTTATACTTGTACAGAGTGTAGGCTGAACCATTAATGACTGGGTACTAGGAATATAAGATAGAATACAACAAGTAGTTGTAAGGAATACTTGGAAGTTAGAACTGAAGAAAAATTAAATTAAAAAAGATGCCAAGTCATAACATGATTCGTAATTCCTGAACGGATCTCTGAGACCAATGATTTGGCAAGTTGTGGGAGTGTTCATTTTTAAGTTTACACTTTCTTTATACAAAAAACAAACAAAACCTTTCTTTTTACCGTTACAGACAATTACTCTAAGATTTAAATGAAAATCATTATCAATGAGAACTAATTAAAATAATACCGTAAAAATTAAGCGAACAATTAAAACGGTGAGTAAATTTAAAATTAGCGCTAACATGACCATCTGTTTGTCCGAAATCATGAAATAACAAAAAGTTTTGTCATTTTAACGTTATGTAAGACAGGATGTTGTTCTTTAAAACCTTCGGCGTGTATGTGGGCGTAATTAGGCCAGGATACATGGCAGGTGAATAACCTTTCCTGCGTTCGTGCATTTGTATATTTTTATCATATTATTAATAAATGTGGGTTGTGTTTACTGATAGCATCTAGTAGGTTATGGTTTGCAGAAAATGTGAATTGAAATAGTTGAAATTGAAAATAAAAATGAATTATATATAAGATTCTTGAAATAGAGATGTTCCATTAAATCTCTTGCTTATTCAATCTTTTCACGCTTTAATTAATCAAAAATCTAATGGTACTTAGTCTACCACAAACACGTATTACCTTATGTTTAAATCCCGGACATTCTAATTTGAACTTTACTGCTCATGTATAAAGTTTTGATGCACAATCAACAAATGATAAAGTTAAATTTATCATAATATTTAAATTACAATATGGTTGATAGATGATAACTTTAATGACTTTTATCTAAAGTATAACAACATTACCGAACAATAATTAAAAAACTAGTTTTCACATATGTTTTACCAGCGTGGTGTAATCAACTCTTTAACATGAGTAAAAACGTGACGAGATGCTTATTACTAATCTTAACTGACATACTGTATGAAATTAAATTTGCATATACAAGCTTAAAATAGCAATAGGTACTACTAATTTTTTTTAATGAAACAAGATTGCAGCCAGTATGAAAGACTTAGTTTGTGAAAAACAATGTTGAATACAGAAGCTATTTGAAAACCATTACCGTAAACAATATTATTCATTTCATAAGTTTATTAAATAAATAAACATGTCTCCCTCTCTAGAACAATAATGGCTCGCTGACCATAAGCTATGTAATCTATACATATAAATAAAATTGGAGTGTCTGTTTGTAATATTGAAATAGCCTCTTTTTACTACATGCATATGTATGCGGTACATACACCAAAGTAACATTTTTTACAATTTTTGTCTGTCTGTCTGTTTGTTCTGGCTAATCTCTGGAACGGCTGGACCGATTTTGATGTGACTTTCACAGATAGGTAGCTGATGATATAAGGAGTAACTTAGGCTAGTTTTTTTAGACTATCTTCGCCCCGCGGCTTCACACGCGGTACGACAATAACCGCGGGTAACATCACGGGACTCAGCTATCAATAATAAAATTTAATGTTTCTGAAACGAAGCGAGGTCGCTAGTTTCTAAATAAAACTGCTGTAGTCAATAAAATTGGTTGGCTAACCTTAACCAAATTAACCCTTGAAAATAGTATGTATATACAATATTAAGGCTCTGGAATGAGCTCTCCCTCCACGGTATTTCTCAAGTGCTATGACATGTCCTTCTTCAAATGAGGCTTGTTGAGAGCACTTAACTTAGGCAGCAGCTCGGCTCTGCCCCTGGCATTGCTGACGTCCATGAGCGACAGTCGACGACGACGACGACGACTCACCATCAGGTGAGCCATATGCTAGGCCAACAAGAATAAAAAAAAAATTTTATTTCTGAATTCACAGTTCGCACAATGTCGAATGCAACTGTAAACATAAAGTTCCAGTGGGGCTTGAAGTCCTCAGATCCCGAACAACTACCAGTTTTGGTCATAGGGCAGTCGGGACATCTTAATCAGCTTTCTTGGAGTGATGTCCGCTGTAAACTTGAGCCCAGAGTCACTGAGGAGGTAAGAGATTGATTTTTTTTTCTATACCACCAGTAATTATTCATTAGTAATCATCATCAGTAGTTGTGTGAACATTGTCTTTTATGTGGCACGTCTGTTCACCTACAATCAATCTGCTTTTACAGTATAGTATATTTTTAGGATAATATCATCTAGGGACAAAACAGTAAAGTTTTGACCACATCAAAATAATCTGTAACTATTTCTACATAATATAAGACTAAAATAATTTAAAAGCACTTTTTTTTTTTCAGTTCTTAGCAATATATCTATGAATAGTTTGAGAGAAGCGGCAACAGACATAACAATGCTAATACGTGAAAAAACTTAAAATCTTGTTATTTGTCTTCCAGGCATGGAAACGAGGTCTATCTTGTGTATCAACATCACCAGGTGAATCCTGTGAGCTGTGGCCGCGAGCCGTGACATTGGCCTCGTTACCAGCACGGCGCTCTCGTCATGCAGCACCTTCTAGGGCTCATGCCCTGGCCAAAATTGTTAGAGCAACTCAGCGTACTACCGATGAGGCTATAGTGGTCAGTATTTATAATTTAATGGTGGTAATAAAACACAGATAATTGGTATTGGCAAAAATGCACCAGAAAATTTATTAGGGATGCCTGTATATAGTCTGTACAGTATGCGGTGAGCCAGTTTTGTTTTTCCTACCTATTCTGGTAGACTTAGAGGGATATGCCTGCATTACCGAGCGAGTAGGTGAGCTCAAGAGGCTCTAACCTGTGGACGTTGCTAACACTGACCTTAGCAAGAGCAGTGCTTCGCAGAATCTACCACCGGATCGGAAACGCAACCCACTGAGAAGATCCGGCGAGAAACTCAGTGGGCTGTGTCTATGGGTTAATTCGCTCGCCGAGCCCTTCGTCGCAAGCGACGGGTTCGACGAGGACGGTGACCGGGGAGCCCTGTGAGCTCACCTACTGGTTAAGGTTACGCCTAAATAGCCTCTCAAGGCAGCTCAGCTTAGGTAGGAATTTTTTTTATTAGTGTTAAGAGTGTTAAAAGGTCGCGCTCCCCCACAGCTGGTGTGCCGCAAGCGCGACGTGTACGCGAGCTGCATGGGCATCGCCCGCTCCTACCCGCTGTACCACGCGCGCTCCTCGCCGCCGCCCGCGCGCGCGCTCTCCGTCGAGATCCTGCTCGTCGCCGAGGACAAGCTCGGTAACTCTTATTTTTTTTATTGCTTACATGGGTGGACGAGCTCACAGCCTACCTGGTGTTAAGTGGTTACTGGAGCCCATAGACATCTAAAACGTAAATGCGCCACCCACCTTGAGATATAAGTTCTAAGGTCTCAAGTAGAGTTACAACGGCTGCCCCACCCTACAAACAGTAACGCATTACTGCTTCACTTAGATGGGAAATAAGAACTAGGGGTAGCATAGGGACCCCGGTCGGCGGTGTATCGCGTTCCGACCCGGCAGGCTGGTTCTGGCCCAGCGGGGTATCCCGGAACACCAGCGGCACCGCCCGGGCGGCCTGGTAGGGCCGCCGTACCGCGGAGACTGACGTCGTTGGTCGTCGACTATCGCCTCGACGACCCGTCGGTCGGGCGTCCTCGGGGTGGCGCCGCGTGTCTGGTTGTAGTGTTGACCGCGGGAACCCCCCTACTCTGACCGGGTTCTGACCCCGGACGGAGATCGGACGTCGGGTGTAAGAGTGCAGGGGAGTCGTTTAGTGGGTGGGCCCTAAAATCCTTGGGCCCGCGATCTGCTCTCAACACCTGCAGATCGTTGAGTCTCACATACCCCGCGCGCCCCCTAGGCGCGGGGACCTCGTAAGAGGTTCGGTCCCCGGCCCGAAAAAAAAAAAGCATAGGGACAAATCTAGGTTGTCACAATGCTTTTGTGAGATTTAAATTTGTTGAATTGATAAGGACTTTTATTTAGTGTTCATGAATATTAAATAGTTTAATTTAGTCATCAGAGTGTTGTAACGAAACTAAGAAAAGTTAATTACCTAAAGGTAAGTACCTATCTGACAACTGAACTGTGCCAGCCCTATCGAAAAACTCTATTATCCCCATAAGTGACCCGATTTACCCTAAAAGCCAAGGTGGATCAGGTCAAGGTAGTTTTTTAAGTTTTTGTGTATATTTTGCATCATATATGAAAATTTAAGCATCTGGAACAATTTTAATCTTAATTTTATTGGTATTACTCTAAAAACCACGGAAAATTTGTGTTGGAATTGGAAGGTATCCCGATTGCCCCAATCTATTGTACTACTGTCTAATGTAATGATCCGTTTTTGTATCGACAACTCGATACATTTACAATTACGAATTCTATAGATTTTCGTGCTTGACGTACTGTACTCTCACTGGGTTCACGATACCCTGTTCTAATTAGCTATTGGTATCTCCGCAGAAGGTGAATCCGAAGATGAGGGTGTGGGACCTACAGACCCGTCGCTGCTGGACGGGGCGCTGTCCCTCGAGGAACTGACCACCATCCACCAAGCGGCCGACGCCACTCGCCTGGCTGCCAGGATCACCGACACCCCCACTAATATAATGAACGTCGATAAATTTATTGAGGTCAGTTAAACCACACACTAGGACCCTTGTTGGAAATCGAGTTTGAAGTCGCCGTGGCCTAAAGGATAAGACGTCCAGTGCATTCGTATCGAGCGATGTAACTGGTGTTCGAATCTCGCAGGCGGGTACAAATTTTTCTAATGAAATAAAATCATTTTTTCTTACACTATTTTTAATTCAAATTTATTAAAATTTATTTTCAATATTTTGTTGGATTTTTTATGAAAGCATATTTTGTTAGTTTTTTTTAACTATTATTTATTTTTCATTTTTAGTTGAATTTCAATTTTTTTATTTTTTTAAAGTATTGAATTGTCATTGGTCCTTAATAAGTATATCAAATTTCGAGTTAATCTGACGTTTTGAAGGGGGTTAAAATCATGTTCAAAGATTCCGTTGCATACCAACATACATACGTCTGAAGCTAATAAAAGCGTATTAAAAGTACAAAAAATTACTAAATAGAAAATTCATTGATATTAGGTACAATTTAGTGAATGTTTGTCGTCGCATCCAGGAAGCGTGCAACGTGGCCAAGGAGCTGGACATCCCGGAGCCGTGCATCATCCGGGGGGAGGAGCTGCGTGCGCGCGGCATGGGCGGGCTGTACGGCGTGGGGCGCGCCGCCAGCTGCCCGCCCGCGCTCGTCACGCTGTCCTACGCCGCGCCCGCCGCCGCGCGCACCGTGGCCTGGGTCGGGAAGGGCATCGTGTACGACACCGGCGGCCTCAGCATCAAGGCGAGGGTGCGCACCGCCAGCCTTTCTCGCAACTTTTTTTTTCCTAACTTGCTGAGAGCCTTGAGAGGCTATATCATGATGATGATATTAATTTATCCCTAATGGGAAAGGCAAAGGACTTTAGTCCATACAGCCAGATCTTGTTCTTGGTAACAATTGGAGAATTTTGTTAGTTTTAAAGGCCGAAGCCACGTCTTCATTGTTCTTGATCGTAAGGCCGAAGCTATGTCTTGTCTTATTGTTGTCATATCTTATTATTCTCGGTCATAAGACCTAAGCCACTTCTTCGATGTTTTGAATTGGTCGATGTCAAATCCATAAGCAAGAGGCTATATCAGCGTAACCTTAACTAGTACAGTAAGTGCGCGAGTTCATGTCCATCCTGAGGAATGCGATAGTGCTGTGACCTAGTTAATTATGGCAATATCGATAATAACTACCGATTTAGTCAACAGCTGCCAATTTGGTTTAATCTGACTTAAGGTAATTTTGCTTAAGGTAATTAAACTTAAGGTAATTATGAAATAAAATAAACGTGATAAGTAATTATTTGTTTATTTCTAATAGAGAAAAATATATTTTTTTATTCCAATTCAATCACTGTCCAATTAAATACAACCAACAGATCAGAGTCGGAATCAGTGCGTATCTTTTTTCAGTAGGTTTTTTTTTTCTATCTGTACTTGTTGGAAGCGGAGTAGTCATGCTTAATTAACACAATAGCGTTAGCGTAAATTTTCGATATCGATAAGCGCGCGTCACAACTGTCAAGGACAACACTCGACGTCAGACAAGTGCGGGGAGGCGGGTGAAGGTGGGGCGAGCTGTCCCCCGCGCGTCGCCTCTGGCCCCGATGGACATGAACTCGCGCGCATACAGTAGGTGAGCTCACGGGGCTCAAACTTGACGACGTCGCTAACACTGGCCCTAGCAAGAGCCGTGCTTGGCAGAATCTACCACCGAATCGGAAACGCGACTCACTGAGAAGATCCGGCGAGAAACTCAGTGGGCTGTGTCTGAGGGTTAATTTACTCGTCGAGCCCTTCGTCGCAAGCGACGGGTTCAATGACCGGTCTCGTACCGCCACGCATTATCTTCTTTATTTTTTGGCTCCGGCACGGTTTGTGCATTAGCCAGTGTCAAGTACCGTAAAGCCGGTAGAGGCGAGTAAATTAACTCTCAGACACAGCCCACTGAGTTTCTCGCCGGATGTTCTCAGTGGGTCGCGTTTCCGATCCGGTGGTAGATTCTGCGAAGCACGTCTTTTGGTAGGATTCGTGTTAGCAATATCGTCAGGTTTAAGCTCCGTGAGCTCGCCCAGTGACGCTGATATGGTCTCTCAAGACCGTCTGCTTTGACAGGTAAAAAAATCCGTAAAATAGGGAAATCGGGACACTTTTTAAGTTAGACATTCATTTTTATCGTTTTTTTTGGTAGTTATAGTAATAAAACGGAGATTTTAATAGTTCCGGAGGTGTAAATTTTTATATAAGATGCATTATTATACATAGTTCATTACAAAAACCTAAAAAAAACTAGCTTGACCCGATTCACCTTGGCTTTGAGGTGAATCTGTGCCTCTACAGACTTGGAGGACTATGTAACAGCTCGAGATAGGAGACTTTACAATTTACATTTAAAAAAATATATTTTGATTTGTACAGGCCTCGATGGTGGGCATGAAGGGCGACTGCGGAGGCGCCGCTGCGGTGCTGGGAGCCTTCGCCCTCACCGTCAAAGCGAAGCCCGAGTTTAACCTGCACGCCGTTCTTTGCCTCGCCGAGAACTCCGTAGGACCTAACGCCACGAGGTAAGGACTTGTAGTGGAGAACAATAACATAATGTACAATCTCAATGCAGTCAACTATATTGAGAATGTATGTTAGGTTATGTATCGTCTAAAAATTGACTCATGAACATAGAGAGAGAGAGAGAGAACATACTTAATTGCACACCAAAACACAATTAACATCAGAAAACTGTCAACAAGCAGATACGTTTGTACAATAGGCGATCTTATCGCTAAAAGCGATCTCTTCCAGACAACCGTTTAAATATCCGAAATTCTGGACAGATAAAGATATAGCAGGTATGTTGCGGTGTAGTATTAACAACTCATTATTAAAGAAAATACAAATATACAATAAATATATATATATAAACACAATATGAAATCACCATATCTTTTATATTCCAATATACTTACATACACATAATAAATGAACATACTAAGCTACTTACTGACCGCGTGCCAACTCTGCAACGCTTTTATAGTCGATACGACATCCCTAGATTTTTCAGGAACATTCCTGACAAGTCGAGCACTTTCGATGCGTGTTTCCGCTATCTGACAATAGATGGCGTTGTACTTCTCGAGTGTTCTAGATGTTACTAAATCTTTTGGTAATCGTTTCGGCTATTTGGCGATAGATGGCCTTAATGTTACTGGCGTAACATTACCATTGACTTTTTAAACCTAGTTTCATTATACCCATTACATGAGCTCCAGCTGACCGTGACCTGATTGTCCGCAGGCCTGACGACGTGCACACCCTGTATTCTGGACGCACCGTCGAGATCAACAACACGGACGCCGAGGGTGAGGCCGCCGACGCTTTCTTCGTCAAGTTTATACAAATGTTTGAAGTGTGACCAATAATTAATTGAAATGTTAATGTGGATTTTTTTTCTTTTATTTTTTTAAGTATGGCAATTGCCTTCTTGCGATGACAATGTTGCCAGTGTCTAGTCTATAAAAACGAATTGATTGAAATTAAATGAAACTCGATAATGAAATATTTGGAAAAACTCGTAAAGCCATGTTCAAGGGCTTTGGTTTATTTTTAGATATTTGTACTCTCACACAGATGTTAAACAATTAACAGAGTCGTTATTGTATTAAATTAACGAAATAAAACAGTAGACACAGAATTCCGTAGGGGAGGGAGGGTAGAGTCGCAGCTAAGGGCGTGGGTTGGTTCTGTTGCAGGTCGGCTGGTGCTGAGCGACGGCGTGGTGTACGCGCACCGAGACCTCAAGGCCGACACCATCGTGGACGTGGCAACACTCACCGGAGCGCAGGTAGCCGCACCTGGCAACACTGAGTTTTACCTTACCTTAACCTTTAAACAAATTGATTTTTATTTTTAATACGTTTTTATTAGCTTTAGACGTACGAATCGTAAGGTAAAAAAATATGGAAAAAAATATTGAAAAATAAATAATAGTTTAAAAAAACTAACAAAATATGCTTTTATAGAAAATCCAACTAAAAAAGCGTGGGGTGCATAGTATTGGTAGTTATAAATATTTTATTTAAATATATGAGTATAAGGGTTATTTTGGTAATATTGTTACGCGCTGGGGTTCGGGATAAATATTTTTTTTCCAAAGTACAACTAGAAAAGTGTATTCAACACTTAAAACATTTTAAACACTTCACAAACACTTTTAAACTCCCAATTCGCTTGTTCCGCTTCGCTTCAGGTGATCCGTTCGCTGTTTCGCTTCGAGTAGTTCCGATTACTGACTGACTGCGTGCCATCTCTACAACGCTTTTATAGCCGATACCTCATCCCTAGAATTATCGAGAATATTCCACACATCTCTAGTAGTAGTTTCCGTTATCTGTCAATAGATGGCGTTGTACTTTTCGAGCGTACCAGGTGCTACTAGATCCTTCTATATTCGTTCGACTATTCGGCGATAGATGGCGTTACTCTTACCGGCGTAACAATATCCTGAAAAGTACCTCACGCTTTTTTACAATAAAATAATTTTTCTTACACTATTTTTCAATTAAAATTTATTTTCAATTTTTTAGTTGGATTTTCTATAAAAGCGCATTTTGTTAGTTCTTTTAAACTATTATTTATTTTAATGGACGGTTAAAATTTTACAAATGAGGCTTTAAGATAAGTTTGAAGTGGTCGTTTGCAGGGCACTGCGACGGGCAAGCAGCACGCGGCGGTGCTGTGCAACGGCGCGGCGCTGGAGGCGGCGGCGGTGCGCGCGGGGCTGCGCTGCGCGGAGCTGGCGCACGCGCTGCCCTTCGCGCCCGAGCTGCACTTCGCCGAGTTCACCAGCTGCGTGGCCGACATGAAGAACAGCGTCGCGGTGTGCACCCATACCCCCCTCACACACATACTACTTACCACCCTCATTTTGGAATATCACATTTTTAATACATTTACATTTTTACTGGTGTTAAGACCTCTTGTGAGTCCGCGCGGGTAGGTACCACCGCCTTACCTATTTCCGCCGTGAAGCAGTACTGCGTTTCGGTTTGAAGGGTGGGGCAGCCTTTGTAACTATACTTGAGACCTTAGAACTCATATCTCAAGGTGGGTGGCGCATTTACGTTGTAGATGTCTATGGGTTCCAGTAACCACTTAACACCAGGTGAGCTGTGAGCTCGTCCACCCATCTAAGCAATAAAAAAAACTACTCACATTTTTTTTATTGCCCTTATAGGCAGACAAGCATACGGCCCATCTAATGGTGAGTGGTTACCGTTGCCCATGGACTTCAGCAATGCCAGAGGCAGAGCCAAGCCGCTGCCTACCGCTTAATACTCTCCACAAGCTTCGTTTGAAGAAGGACATGTCATAGTGCTCGGGAAACATGATATTGTAAATCTCAGTCTGTTTGTTCGTTTGTCCTTCTTTCGCTTTAAAACGAACCAACGGAATGATACGATGTCACAAATAAAGTTTAATTAAAATTCTGTCAGTAGAGGAGTTAAGGCTACCTTTCATCCTGTATAAGTATCTATCTCTTCCCTGCAAGAATCGACACTAACACTTTACCTAAATGACGCGAGCAAAGTCGCTTGTGATAACTAGTTTTATACAACTCGATATAATAACATGTGTATATATGTGTGTAGCAATCCACGTAAATTCTACATGAAGATAATTTTCTAAATATCTTTCTATTGCAAGTAGACATTAGAGATCACACCGGAGTCTAGTTCTCGTAAATTAATAATAACGTGCGTGTTGTCCCAGGACCGCAACAACGCGCAGCCGTCGTGCGCGGGGCTGTTCATCCTGGCGCACCTCGGGTTCGACTTCCCGGGACAGTGGCTGCACGTGGACATGGCCTCGCCCTCCGTCTGCGTGAGTATCGCCCGTCGGCTCGGTGGCGCACCCAACGCTACGTGGGTTCGATTCCCACGCTTACTCTACGTTTGGGTGCTCAATATCTATACATATGTATATTGTAAGATATTTAACATATATCAGTATTTGTGTGCTTAATGCGAGTTTTTTGACGTTCTCGATAGCGTAAAAGTTAACTCGTTAAAACGTTAAAAGTATGGAGCTGGAATGTTTGCCTACGTTTGCCGCTAGGGGCGCTGTTCCAACTGCATACAATTTTTAGTTAACTTTTACGGTATCGAGAACGTTAAAAAACTCGCGCTAATTGCACTGGCTCTCACGGTTCAAGGGATCCTAGTACCCCGGTAACCGTACTCGTCGAACTCAGCAAAAGAGTTCAACGTGCAACCTAACCCATGCATCAGCCCGCTGAGTTTCTCGCTGGATCTTCTCAGCGGGTCGTGATTCCGATCCGGTAGAAGGTTCACTCGCGAAGCAGCTGCTCTTGAGCTGTTAGGTCTCCTTCGGAGGCGCTTGGGCAGTTGTTAGCAAATCCCACTCTTCCTGGCTGAGTCCCCGCTCGCTCACCTGACCTGGTAAAACTGGAAAGGCCTCCGGGCCACCAGTGATCCCTTAATCATAAAAAAGGAATCCTAGTTTGGGCTCAGTAAACGTGTCTTTGTCTCTGGTATTATCCATCTGGTCGTGAGACTTTGTCAACAATCTGCGAGTTACAACTAAGCTGTACAGTCCGCGCGCGAGCTCCGAGGATTCGGGGGCTGAGGAAGCGGGCGGGCGTGCACCGCGCCCGACCGTCGCTTCAGGATGGAGGATTTTGTCGAATCATTTATTATTGAAGTACGTGAGGAGAGTGACATCAAGAGGAGAGTACATCAAATTCTTCAACTACTGATTAATCTGGTTGCGAGAGTAATTGATAAGATTTCACGTTCATTTTGTTCAATAAGTATCAGTTCCTTAAATTAAATTAAATTCAATGATCAATTTATTTATTTTCAAATACATAATACCTTCATAAAACTATTTTATAATTTACACTCGCACGGAGGCTTGAGATGTGTTAGTATCGATAGCGCAATATCGACTTACAACACTAGCTCATTTCGTCAACATTCCTAAAAAATCCTCGGAGCTCGCGCGCGGACTGTAGTCAGTACCAGCTCACGAGTGGTCCTTACCCCCCGCAGGGCGAGCGTGCTACCGGCTACGGGGTGTCACTGCTGGCCGTGCTGTTCGGCGCGCGCACCGGGTCCCGCCTGCTGCGCGCGCTCAGCCCCCTCGGTCGACTGTGAGCACCACCCCAGGGTCACCAGTGCTCATCGCCCACGCGTGTGAGTACAGTAATCAAAAGAAACACCCGGACGTACAGAGCCGAGGTACGGCGAAGAAACAACAAATTAGGTACAATTTATAGTTTTTTATAAATCTATTTTATAGTAAGCATAATAATTAACTTTATTGGTTATTTTATGAATAAAACCATCCTGACACTCTAACGCTGGCATGCGTGCGATAGTAAATGATGTCCAGAGACCACGTCGCTAAGGATACAGAAACATGTACTTTGAATGTCGATAAGTATAGTACGTCGATGAAAATAATGTTATTTAATATCTCAAGATCTAATATAAAATGCATTTGAAGAAGAAGATGTCATTGTGTCAAGTTACGCGAACCGGCGCCACGTACACGGCCGCTCTGGTTGTAACCCGAAGTTTCAAAGGGCTCAATCAGCGCGCAATGTACAGCGTCGATTTTGATAATACTGTTTTAAGCCACGAAAAAAATGTTCATTGGTTCACGTTATTGACTATGTCAGTAGCCGGTAGTAGGGAGGCCCCGCCCGGCGCATGTCGGTCGCCTAGCTGGCATGCTTTCCGGACTGGAAGACCTCATGCCTCAAGCCGCCCCGACCGGCGTTAAGTAAGCACCGTCATCTACATCGGTATGATTTTTTTGTATGACACAGCGATATAGGGCATAGATATACAGTAATCCCCCTTATAACACGGTACCTTTATAACGCGATTTCAGTCCCCCGTATAACACGGGCATTCCCCCATATAACGTGGGGATTTCTAACGTTATATTTCTGTACAGTGAAATTTAATATCTGTACAGTTCATAATTACTTTGGCGTACCTTTGCACATTGTGTCAATTGTGTTCTTATAAAAATAAATTAAATTAATTTATTAAATTTGTGTTCCTAGTTTTTGAATTGTAAAAACATTGGCATTATTGTATTACATATGTACATATATAATTTTTGTATATAACGCGTTATGTGGGGTCATACAAAAGCGTTTTTTGTGAATACTACAACGCGTTTCCTATAACGCGGGACCAATCTACCGTGTAATAGGGGGAGAATTACTGTAAATATAAAAAAAAAACAGTCTGTAGCGAAGTGTCGCTGCCAGCAACGCGAACCAACGAGCTTCTTATGAAAATAGAGAGTACTAAACAAAAATCAGTTTTTTTTAATAGTATTTTTATAATTATTAGCCATTATATTTATTTAGGTACAAACATTTTGTTCTAAACGACCTTCCAAAATGAGCGATGTACCTAACTAAAGGGTGATAATATTTTAAAATTAATAATTTTTGTATGAATTTGATCCGCAATGAAAAAGCGCCTTAAAATAAAACGAATAAGCAATATTAAGTAATTTAATTAATGTACAATAAAACTGTTGTTTGTAAAATTGTTACCATCTCGTTCAACTTACAAAATGTAATGTTGTACTATATTAATGTATTTGTAAGTGAAAATAGCGTGGAAAGTATTTTAATGCTTATCTAGAATACAGGGTTTTGTGTATCCTTCAACTATTTGAGTCGACTATTATCAAAGCCGGCAATGTGACTTTTGGACAATTATTGGTAAATCAGAAAAACGAATTATTGACTTTGTATTCCATTGGCAGTCACAAAACTCTTCTGAACGACATCTTAGATAAATAACAGGTTAAGTATTAACCTTTATTTAATGCAGGTTTTGAACCGTATTCTTTGAAGGAGACGATTATATTCAAATCAATCTGTATTGACATATCAATAACATTTTCTTGTTCAAATGCACAGATTGCCACCTTTGATAATAGACGACTCATTTGTTGTTCAAATCTGAAAAATAATTCACTTGCTGATTCATTGCCTTAATGTGATGAATTAAATAAAAAATCTGTTGTTTTTCAATTAAAGACCATGAATATATTTAGTAGCCAAATTAAAAGGCAGTTTTTTTTTTAGTAATAAGTAAATAAATGTGTTCCATCAGAGCCAAGTCGCAGTGTCTGTCACCTTATATTTTTATTAAGGAATTATGTGGTATTACNGTGACTTTTGGACAATTATTGGTAAATCAGAAAAACGAATTATTGACTTTGTATTCCATTGGCAGTCACAAAACTCTTCTGAACGACATCTTAGATAAATAACAGGTTAAGTATTAACCTTTATTTAATGCAGGTTTTGAACCGTATTCTTTGAAGGAGACGATTATATTCAAATCAATCTGTATTGACATATCAATAACATTTTCTTGTTCAAATGCACAGATTGCCACCTTTGATAATAGACGACTCATTTGTTGTTCAAATCTGAAAAATAATTCACTTGCTGATTCATTGCCTTAATGTGATGAATTAAATAAAAAATCTGTTGTTTTTCAATTAAAGACCATGAATATATTTAGTAGCCAAATTAAAAGGCAGTTTTTTTTTTAGTAATAAGTAAATAAATGTGTTCCATCAGAGCCAAGTCGCAGTGTCTGTCACCTTATATTTTTATTAAGGAATTATGTGGTATTACCGATCACTATTCTAACATTTTATTCTTTTTTTTTTGCAAAATAAAAAAAACTTAATATTTGGGTAACCATTGTTGTTTTATTCCGTATAATATGACCTAGGATGGGCGCAGAGCCGCTGAGGTACTTATCATCGGCAAATATCTTACTGTAGTGTATAGTATAAATGAGGCCCGTCAGCGCAAAAGTGGTCTAAGCTTACCATAGTTATTATGGAGATATTGAGATTTGAATTTACTTTTACAATACATCGCCAGCAAAAAAAATACGCCCAAAAATAATGTTTCAAAAGGCATCTGTTATCTGTGAGAAACTTGGGCAATTTTGCATCAAAATTTATTATGTATTAAATAAATTGCAATACATAAAGACGAATATGAATTGTGGGTTAAGGCACTTTTGCGCTGACCGCCTCAAATATCTTATAAACATCCTAGTGAAATGATGATGGTCGTTGAAAATACTGACTTTGCGAACATGAGTTGAATCTACGAAAATGGATGGGTATTTAACAGATTCCTCTTCTGGTAGAAATATTTATTACCAAAGTAACATTCCGTTAGTCTTCAATAATTTGAAAAACATCGCAAGCAAACAAAAACGCCGACACTCAAAGTTTCTGACACACCGGAATGAAACAAAAAATATATTGGAAATCATGGTTTTATTGATATCAATTTACATTACTAGTCAATGTATAAAAAGCTTGTTTACATTAAATTCAATTTAGTATTAAAGATTTTTAAAAATTTTAAGTAAAAAATAAATGCGTTCACCGCGCTTACTAAAATGCACGACAGATTGTCTACTTTTTATTTGGTAAATCCTTATTAAAACTACACTGAAGAATATTATATAATATGTGTATTTTTGAAAAATAAATAATGAATTTCTATACGTGATTAAAAATGTGATCAATTTGACACAAGATAATAAAAATGACTAATGAATTATTGCTCGACTACAAAAATGGCCAAGCCACGGCCCCAATTAAAATATAAGTCCTAAAATCCACTTGTAAAATATTTTTATGTATAATATTGTATCTTTGCACTCATTATTTATATAATAGAATGAAAGAGACAATATTCGTTTAAAATTCCATGTGGCAAGTTCGGGGCAAACATTTTCTATTCATAAATCTCTAACGCCAGTGCCGTAGTTCGCTCCCCCTGCCCTATTGAGTGCATCCTTGAATTGGTCGATGTCTATCTCAGACTGATTTTCAAGTTGCAACTCCACAGCAAAGTTCTGAAACATAATAAAAACTAGTTAATTGAGAACTAGCATTGAAATTGAAAGGTGAGTGAAACTAGACCTTCCTAATTTCAATTTTTTTTTTTTNCATAAATCTCTAACGCCAGTGCCGTAGTTCGCTCCCCCTGCCCTATTGAGTGCATCCTTGAATTGGTCGATGTCTATCTCAGACTGATTTTCAAGTTGCAACTCCACAGCAAAGTTCTGAAACATAATAAAAACTAGTTAATTGAGAACTAGCATTGAAATTGAAAGGTGAGTGAAACTAGACCTTCCTAATTTCAATTTTTTTTTTTTATATATTTGTGTCTGTTAATATCTGTCTGATAATAATAAAATATTAATAAAACAAGGTTCTAATAATTAATTTTAAATCCAAATGAATTACGAATAAAACGAATTAAAGTAGGTATCTTTTTTGATTCTCAATATTCGTCGTACTAAGCCGGCACTTTATTTGAAGCACAGACTATCAAATGAAATTTACAAAGTTCAAAGTTGTCAAAATTGGAATGTGCGCAAAAATGTCAAACCTGAACATACGTTATAGAATTGAATTAACACAAAAGTTTAAGTAAATAAAATAAATTATATTAAAATGGATGAAATATACAGTAAAGTTGTGTGCAGAGAGAATCAGTTAAACGATTTGTTCAATTTATTCGGAGATGACAACGAACCATTGCCGTGTTCTATTTTTATAAGTGGAAGTATGGCAACCGGCAAAACGTTATGCTTACAAACTGTTCTCAATTATTTACGTTATAAATATGTATTTGTCGACTGTATCGAGTGTTATTCATCAAAAATAATGTTCGAGAACATATTGTCTGCCCTCAACGATGAAAACGAGGACGTGAAATGTGAAAATTTAATGGATTTTATAAACTGTTTGAACCGGCTTCCAAATAATTATGAACCAATAGTAATTGTATTCGATAGAGTCGAAAGACTACGCAACATGGATCAGAACCTCTTGCCAGTGCTTCTAAAGCTTAGAGAATTTTGTAAATTGAACATTTGTACGATATTGGTGACGCATTTGATATTCGAAAATTTTAATTTCAAATTCGGTGTACGAGAGCCCATAAAACTCTACTTCCCTAACTACAACAAAGAAGAATTATTCAGAATAATATTTCTCTACCAAAAATCATTTGTACAGCATTTGCTGAACCATTTTGACATAGAAGATGAAACAACGGAACTGATTGAAAAACCAGAGTTATTTGCAAACTTCTTGAATGCATTCTTGAGTGTATTCTATAGGCCATGTCGAGACCTTATCGAATTAAAGCATATGGCACGCCTAAACTTCATCAAATACTGTGAACCAATCATAAAAGGTGAAATACAATCAAATGATCTAACTAAATTGTGGAGACACATCTCACCAATCTTGAAAACAAGCCTAGAACTTTTATACTTAAGAATTAGCGATATGAGGCAATTCAAACCTTCACCGGGTAAAGAAAACAGTGAAAGCTTATATGCCAAAGAATTCTGTCTGGAGAAAACGTTAAAAGATGAACTTTCTTCTACAAAAACATTTGCACAAAGCTTTGAACTACCATACTTTGCTAAATACTTACTAATTGCAGCATATTTGGCTAGCTACAATCCGCCCAAAGAAGACAAGAGATTGTTTATGAAGAACCACGGGAAACAACGTAAACAAATGAGACAAATCAAAGCAAAGGCTAAAATTAATGAAAAATTAAGTACACAGTTGGGCCCTAAAGTTTTTACTTTAGATCGATTGTTGGCAATATTCTATGCTATCTTAGAAGATAAGATCGGTTTAACCAGCAATCTGTTGGCACAAATAGCGACATTAGTTGAGCTAAAATTGATAGCGGGAAGCAAAGAGATAGATTTAGACACAGCAAAATATAAATGTATTGTTGGCTATGATTTTATTTCAGCCATCGCTCAGACTGTCGGTTTTAACATTAGAAAATATTTGTATGATTTTATTTGATGTATTGCTGTCAAGTTGCGATACATATTTCTCTAATAAACATTTCTGAAACAATTTGATTTTTAGTACTTATATGGGTAAATGAGCTCATGGTCCACCTGACTTTAAGTTACTACTGGAGTTTATACACATCAACTGAATGCTGCTAACCAATTTGAAAAATGAGGTCAAAGCCCAATCATATTATTAAAATAGCTGGCACATCCTGCACTTCAGAACAATTTTTTGTTAAAATTGTTTTCAATTTCATCATTCACTTGGGGAGATATTTAGGATTGAACAAAAAGAAGCTGTAAGCTCGCGGGGGAAGAGCTTATCCAAAAACAAAATGCGCTTATACGAACCGATATGATGTCCTTGATGATAGCTTTGTCGGTGGACATCTTGGCTCGGTTGATCACAGACACGTTCGGTCCTACCCACGTCATGAACATAAATTTCTTGCGTTTAGACATCTCGTCTCCCATCTGCAACCTTCAGTCCAAAAAATTTATTAAAACGAATTTGTGTAATGCAACACACATCTGTTGGACTACGCGAGCCAGGACTTAATTAGAACTCTTTTTACGGATTTATTACGCGGTTTTTGTATTTCTTATTAACCACGTCTCCAATTATTTATAGTTTCCGATCACTCGGCGCCTCAATCATTATTAATAATCACTTGAGTGCTGAGCTTAATTTTACATATTTTTCGGAAACTGCTAAGGAATTCTGAAAGAAATTACCCACAAAAAAATTTAACTTAAAAATACAAAAAATCATTCACGAAGCAGCTACTGTCGAGTTGTTAGGTCTCCTTTGGAGGCGCTCGGGCAGCTGTTAGCAAATCCCACTCCTCTTGGCTGAGCGCGTGCTCGCCCACCTGTCCTGGTGAAACTGGAAAGGACTCCGGGCCACTAGTAATCCCTCAAAAAAGGAATCCCAGCTTGGGGTTGGGTGGTAGATGTGTCTCATGTGTCCCTGGTATTATTCGTCTGGTCGTGAAAGTTTGTTGGAGGTTTGAGAATGTTTGTCAATCGGCAAGTCACAGCGAAGCTTCACGTCATTTCGGATCCTCCCGATCCACTAGCGGTGCTTTTAGGTACCTCAAGCACCAGTAATCCTTCCTTCATATAAAATTTCAACAATTAATAAGCAAACTGTGTATTTACCTGAGGTATCCGAATGCGCGTTCATCATCAGAGAACTGCGTGCGGAACTCCGTGAAGTCACTACCCCTGGCCGAGCACACTATCCGGGCGCCTTCAAACTTGAACACCGCCCTGGACAGAGAAAACGTCAATTATATCACATTCAATAAAATCATTAAATTGTGTGGTGCCAAATGTACCATCATACTTAAATTTTTGCAACAAGACGATTATGTGTTGTGATATGAAAATGAATAATAAGCCTCTACATCAAGGATGAGCAGCACGCGGCCCGCCAAACATTTCTAAAATTGAATTCATTTTATCAACTTTAATAATAATAATAATAATAATAAACATTTATTCCAAACACAAATTAAGTACAAAAAATAAATAAAAAAGATAACAAAAATAACGAGGCTTGGAAACGGGTTACCGGCTCAGCAATGCCTAACTGTATCGAGACAATCGGTACTGCGGCGCTGATCTTCCGCCGGCACCTGCGGAGTGACGCGCACACCAGCATCAGACCGACCAATACACAACATTGTAAAATACATTAAAAAATAAAAGAACATGAATAATAAAAATAAAAAACAGTTATGAAAAGGACAACAAAATGACATTATTAAATTAATTAAATAAAAATTGCAGTTGCAAAGCACAATTAATTATAGTACGGAGTAATTATATTTGATATTTTCGAATTTTTCTTGTATATTTAAAAGATATACTTTTAAATTTGTTTTAAAGGACCTTAGCGTTCTCTGGTGCTTTCTCCCATCATCGTTCTTTTCTAGTTTTTATCTTGCATTAAAGTTTGTATATGAAATATTTACTATAGAGAACGTTAAAAATCTCGCACTAAGCACACTGGTCGTCCTGTAGACACTTGGCGACGAACCGTGGAGAGAGAGATGGGCACTGCCGGCCTGACCTGGAGCGATGTTAAGGAACAAGCACAAGACACGGTGAAGTAGAGACAACTTGTTCATCATTACTGGTGGTAGGACCTCCTGTGAGTCCGCACGGGTAGGTAACACCACAGCGGGGCAGCCGTTGTAACTATACTGAGACCTTAGAACTCATATCTCAAGGTGGGTGGCGCGTTTATGTTGTAAATATCTATGGGCTCCAGTAACCATTTAACACCAGGCGGACTGTGAGCGCTTGTTCACCCATTAAGAAATAAAAAAATAACATACAAAATTGCAGATAAATTTTAATTTAAATAGGTCAATTAAAGGCACGCCCTTCCTTTGCCCGGGACTAATCTTCGTGAATATAATCATCGCGCTGTTGCTAATGTTAATAAAAAGGATGTAGCAAATTGTTCAAAGCGAATTAACTTCGAATAAGGACATTCACCGAATGTAGAACGATACTAGAGTCCCGAAATAATTTTAAGCAATAGTTTAGAGATGGGACAATATAATCAGCTATTAGATTGACTAAGAACTATTATTACTACACTATACTATTAAATTTTTATTAAATTTATTGAGAGGTTTTGTTTGCGCTTTGATCCTATAAATGTTTGACATGTCACAAGTCGCAATTCGATCCAATATTCCTTCATTTCTGTATGGATTCAACAAGGCAATACAAGTTTCAACACGCGTTTCTTTCTGCAGATCAGTCAAATCATGAGGCACCCATTTTACAAAAAAGAAATTATTTATTAATTTGACGCAAATGAGTCAATATTCTTGGTAAGGTAATGTTAAACCGTGCCGCTAATTCCTGGGTAGTTTGGCTCGGATCGGCTTCCACCATCTCTTTCAGTTCATTGTTATTCACATGTGTGTGGGCGGTCTTCCACGTGGCTCTTTCTTCAAACCAAAATTTCCATCACGAAAGCTTTTAAACCAAAATCGCAAGGTGCGTTCATTAGCAGTCCCCTCTCCAAACGCAACATTGATATTGCGAGCTGTTTCTGCAGCGTTATTTCCGTGTCGGAGCTCGTATTAAAAAATCACTCGAATTTTCAAAGTATCCATCTTTCAAATTCAAATTCAAAATCATTTATTTCAACTTAGATGTCAGTATGACACACTTGTTGAATGTCAAAATACAAATAACAATGTTAACTCTACCACCGGTTCCAAAAAAAGCCACAGTCCTGAGAAGAACCGGCGAAACAAACTCAGCGGGCTTTTTTTTTCTTTGTTTTTTCTCAAATATTTTCTTTTTTTTAAATAAATAAAAATATTTACAATAAAGGAAAAAACAAGTCAAAAAAATACCATTAAAAAAAAATTAATAATAATGAAAAATGAAAAGGCCAGGAGCGAGCGTCTCATTCCCACGTAGTGCCATCTAGTTTCTTGTCTAAGCTGAATAAAAAGAACAACTCAAAGTCGATAATCGAATGTTGCACATTTTTTAAAAGAAGAACCTCGTAGAAAACCTCAAGCCCTCATGGGAACCGAAAAATATATATTAACTATGGCAGCATTCTTCTCACTACGTTTAGAATGCCTTAGACATTAAGTCCGCCACTCTACTCTTACGAATAAAGTTAAATAAATAAGGCACCTACATATTATATACTTATTTGTTAAAAGTTATTTTATGAGACCGTAATTTAAGTTTAGCTAAATTTGTCTCACCACTCGGTCGGTGTAGTGTCGGACCTCACATCTTCGTAAGCCGCCCTAATCGTTTCCCGGTCTAGGCCGGTGGTCATGGTTACCTGAAATAAAAGAAAATTTAATGACGCTAAATTTTTTGCTCTTGTAGGCGGACGAGCATACGCCTCACCTGATGGTAAGTGGTTACCGTCGCCCATGGACTTCAGCAATGCCAGGGGCAGAGCCAAGCCGCTGCCTACTGCTTAATTAACATCTGCCCTAACAAGAGCAGTGCTTCGCTGAATCTACCACCGACGAAGTCCTTTTGTTAGTAAATTAAGTTTTATAGTGCTTGCTAAATTATTATAACCGAATTTAAAAATGCCATTGAAGGTTTTTTTTTCGTCTTAAAAATAACCAATTCTGTTAGCCCGAAGTCAATGTCCGAGCCGGTCCGGTAAAGTTCTGACGCGCAATAATTTAAAGCATTTACTAGTTTGTTTAGGTTCGCTTCAATACAAACATTTGGTTGCACAAAACTATAAGGTTTTTTGTCCCTACCTATTCGCTGGGAGCTTAAGGAGCTTTGCCAGCTATGTGTTTATATTTACCAGTCAAATTCGGCCAGCTTTATTGGGCTTTAAGTTCTTCTTAAAGTTCTTTGACTTCAATTTCAGCCAATCGCTACGAAACAACCACAGGATCACACTACTTACTTATAAAAGGCTCAGGATCATGATAATTATAAAGCCATTTAACACCAGGTGGGCCGTGAGCTCGTCCACCCATCTAACCAATAAATAAAAACGCTCTTTACTTTTCTTCGTTGTCAATTCTAGGCAAAATTCCTTTGCTTTATATTTCTAGGCTTTTAAAAAAAACATGCCGTGTTGTGAGTTCACGCACACAAATTAACCTTATTTAAAGTTCAGTTACATATAAAATGTGTTACGTGCGAAAGCTTAAAATGTATATTTATCGCATAATAAAAAGCTTTTAATCAGGCGGACAACTTAATTGTATGAAATTACAATGGAGATCTCTCGCGATCTGGGTCTCTTGGTCACTTTTATTTTTGCAAAATTATATTCGTCTTTAAAGACGATCTGAATTTAGGTTTGGGATTTTCTTAAAATCTAGTTACTCTGTATTTTTGCACATTGTTTTGGCAATAAATTTGTTTTGTTTTTTTATTAATAGCATTTACGATTCTCTCGTCGTGGGACGCAAGTAAAATTAGATTTTCATTTGACTAAGTTCGAATTTTATGTGATAAATTATCACCGGGTAAAAACACTCCGAAATGTGTGTAGCACATAGGTACTACAGTAAATCTATACAAATAAATAAAACTGAAGTGTCTGTTTGTAATATTAAAATAGCCATTTTTTACTACATGCACATGAATTTATATACGTTACTTAAACCAAAATAACATTTTTTACACATTTTGTCTGTCTGTCTGTCTGTCTGTTTGTTCCGGCTAATCTCTGGAACGGCTAGACCGATTTTGACGGGACTTACACTGGTAGATAGCTGATGATATAAGGAGTAACTTTTTTTTGACTAGCTTCGCCCCGCGGCGTAACCTCGCGGGACTCAACTAGTATAATATAATGGTTAGATATAGTATAAAAATAGTAATGTAAAAGAGTTTTTCATTGCAAACGATTATCAATCAGAGATTGAAACGGTTCTTTGCCATTTACAGTTTAAATTAACAGAATAACGTCTTCGACACTAATCCAATAATTTGCTACTTAGTGACAGCGTCATCTGTTTCTTTAAATAAACTAGAGGTCCCGCAGTGGTCGAAATTCGACTATAATTAATTGGAATTGTATAATAAGTTTGTACACTATTAAGACTGTATTTTATACTTATATAATCACAAATTTCGCCAAGACTACACTATAAAAAATATGAACAAAGACAAACAATAATTAATCTCAATTTGACAACGGACGTCAAGAACAAAAGTTTGACAATAAATAGTATGCATGCGTGTGTGCGTCAAATACATGGTATGTAGTGTGTGTAATGTTTTCTTTATTGATTTAATGTATCTTTTATGCATTATTTAAAAAAAAAATTAGCATAGTTCACTTCTTCTCTATATTCTCTATAAGTGTGGAAAATTTCATACTCCTCCGTCCGCGCAAATTTCGTAAAAAGGGATACAAGTTTTTGCTTCACGTATTATTTAAATAAATTTTACTGGCTTGGCGACAGCGTCATCGCAATGAAACCAATATCAATGGTTTCGGCGAGTAAAATCGTTTTTTGTAAACCGCTAAATCCAATGCGATCGACAGATTTACGGTTATTAATCCGGCAGTTTTGTTACTTTCATTTATTTCTCAATCGAAAAAGTAAAAAGTAAGCAATAAAAAAAAAAAAAAATATATATGAATACGTTTTATTGCTGCATTGAGTTCTTTTATTTATTTATTGCTTAGATGGTTGGACGAGCTCACAGCCCACCTGGTGTTAAGTGGTTACTGGAGCCCATAGACATCTACAACGTAAATGCGCCACCCACCTTGAGATATAAGTTCTAAGGTCTCAAGTATAGTTGCAACGGCTGCCCCACCCTTCAAACCGAAACGCATTACTGCTTCACGGCAGAAATAGGCAATAACAATTTTTTTAATAGCTTATATTAGCTTATAGCATTCTAATATGTGAAATGAATAGTTGAGACAGAGAGAGAGTATCGACGGCACCAGTATCAACCGGGATAAAAAACAAACTGAAATTAATCTTTAGTTCGGTTTGTTATTTTAGCGTGGCCGGCAAGAAGTGGATGAGGAGAGCCGCAGACCGGGCTCAGTGGTGTGGATTGGGAGAGGCCTATGTCCAGCAGTGGACGACTGTGGGCTGTTAATGATGATGATGATGATGATGATTTTAGCGTATTTTTTTTTAACTTTTTAAATTGCAACCATAATCTATATAGTCTATACGTTAGTTAAATATACGTTAAATTGCTTTAATTGAACAAGAAGTTTGGCGCCGTACTGTTAGAATTGAAACTGGGAACTTATTTTTTAAAAAACATTTTTAATACTCCCTGGACTAAGTTTATGTTATTTATATGGAAAGTGGCGAAAATTCGGTACACGTCCCACTCCGATGAAAGTCTGACCCGAACTGCTTTAAAAAGCTAGCTAAAAATCATCATCTATACACATATAAATAAAATTGGAGTGTCTGTTTGTAATATTGAAATAACCGCTTTTTACTACATACATATGAATACGGTACATACACCAAAATAGATTTTTTTACAATTTTTGTCTGTCTGTCTGTTTGTTCTAGCTAATCTCTGGAACGGCTGGACCGATTTTGGCGGGACTTTCACTGATAGGTAACTGATGATATAAGGAGTAACTTGGGCTTTACTTTTTTAGACTAGCTTCATCCCGCGGCGTCACCCGCGGTACAACGGGACATAACATCGCGGGACTCAGCTATCAATATGAAATTTAATGTTTCCGAAGTGAAGCAAGGGCGGGTCGCTAGTCGGGAATAAATACTGATGTTGATGTTTGGTAAGGCATTATATGCTATGTAGGGATATAACAGCACGAGTGCCAATCAAAATTACCTTCGAAGAATTAGAGAATCCCGAATGACAGGATTCGACATCTTGGATATCGGTCGAACCGGAGTCCTTGCCGTCTTTGACTATAGCGTACAAATCATCGATCCTAGTCTTCAGGACTTGAATGTCTGCCTTCAGTTTACGTCTATCGGTCCCTCCTTCCTCCAGCAAAACGATTTTATCAGAAATACCACCGAGAATCTCACGCAATTCGTTCATGTTTGCCATTAAATTATCGAATTTAGTTATGATCAGCGTCTGGGCATCTGTCAGTTTGTCGATTTGATCCTGGAAGACCTTGTAGCCTTCGACGTGCTCTGCGAACGGGCCGGCCATGTTTCAAACCTTCGTCATTAAGATTATGGATTTTCTAAGCGGAAATCGAATGAAGAATTTGGCTTTGTGTCCCAATTTAATGGTTACATTGACAGATGTCATTTATGTCAAATTGTATCTGTTGTTTGTGGATATAGAGGGTAGAAGAAGTAAGGAGGACGAATTCAGTGTATCGAAAGGTGTCCGCTGAAAGGTAGCCAGCCAGATATTAAACTTAATATTCATCATATTATCTTCGAAGTCGTCTTGCCCTAGAGGATAAGACGTCTGGTGCATTCGTATCGAACGATGCGTCTGTGCCGGTGTTCGAATCCCGCAGGCAAGTACCAATTTTTTTAATGTATGTAATGTATTTTAATGTACTTAATACATGTTGACGATTGACTTCCACGGCGAAGGAATGACATCGTGTTGTTACGGGGATACGGCATTTTCAGTTTAAAAAAAAGGTTTTATAAAGAAAAAAGGATTTATTGCATTTATGGGCGATTTAGTATTGGAAATTCAAGGATACAAAATTTTGGGTTTAACCAACGAACGTGTTATCGCGACGTGTAACGAAAGTGGACTAACTGTACTCAGAGCTATTGTTACTACTTGTAACTGATAATGCTGACTAGGCGTGCGTCAGCAATAGGGGTGCGTAAGCAATAAAGGGTGTAGTGTCGTCTTATAACAGTACAATAAAAATCAAACACGCAAAATTACAATTTGCCTAATTACTGGTGGTAGGACGTTTTGTGAGTCCGCACGGGTAGGTACCATCACCCTGCCTATGTCTACCGTTGTACTGTAAAACCTGAGACTTAGAGAACTCATATCTCAAGCTGGTTGGGTACATTTACGTCGTTGATGTCCATAGACTCCGACAACCACTTAACACCGGGTGACCTCGTCCAACGATCTAAGCAATAAAAACAACAACGCTATTCAGATTACTTTCAAGGTCGTTGAAACATTAATGATTAATGGCAGAACTATTCTTGGAATCGACTTTCATCGCTGCAATAGTTATACAACAGAGTCGTCGACTATTGTGTACAAAAAATGCAAAAAAAAAATAAACCGCTTAAGTTTCTATCTGAGACTTCGGTATGCGATCTTGTACCGTGAAGACGATCATTTTGTTTATAATCACTTTCATTTAAGTGAAAACATTCTCTGTATACAAAGCGATTT